AAAAGTGAGCTGTCTCATTATCTAGTGCCCTTGAAAATTTTTTAGGGAGGTTGAAGAGGGAGGGAAGATATTAAGCTCAGCATAGCTTGTTCCCAGGACTGAAGCAGTCCCTGGGTCTTCAGAAAGAGGATTCAGAATGGTTAAAAGACACATTTTCTCACTGTTTTCATTCTTGCATTTTTTTACTATCTGAGGGAAGTGAGATATTTTTCTTTTTCTTTAACAATCAATTTAAATTGAGTAGAATCTTTATGATGTAACAATATTAGAGATCTCATTCTATTCATTGAAACATTTTAAGACTGAGATGTTACTTTTAAAACAGAAACAAAAAGTTCAGGCAAACCAGTATTTTCAAATTAAATCCTCTGAAGGAGGGAGTGAGACACTAGTCTTTATCTCACACCACCTGGTGCTGTTTCAACTTCTGCTCAACTTTTCCTAAATAACTAAGTCTAAAGATCCCTTATCAGGGAGATATTTAGTAACTTTAAAAAACTGCCACATTAGTATGAAACATTGCTCTTATATTTAGAGAGCCTACACTTGTTAAAAAGTTTCCCTTTTTACTTTTGATTTCTGCCGTTTGATTTCTGCCATGTGATTCCGCAGCCCATAGTAAACCCTAGCTACTTATCTATTGGAGAGTATAGTGTGGTGGATCAGAAATGTACCGTTGGTGAAAACCGTCAGGGAGGGCTGCCTGGTATCCAGGGTACCCTAACCCCGCTTACGGGTTTCAGGTTTTTCCCACGCGTCTAAGACTGCGAGGGAGGGCTCGAAGCGCCAGGTGACCAACCTTTATATCACGCTCCCTGACCGAGCCCAGAGTTAAATTATTGTGACTGGAAGTCCCTATGAGGCCCCTACACGTCGCAGGGATTGACCCCAGACACCTCTGCAAGGCCCCTACTCACTAGGAATGCTTGAGATCTCAAGCCAGAGGGAGGAAATGCCTCTTCGATGTTTGAAACATTCATAAACAATCCTATTAACTAACTCTGAGTTCTCAAAGCAATCTTTGGAGTCCGGTGAAAACCGAAACACTCATTTACTATCTGCTTTTTTATTTACAGGCAGGCGGAGGGAAAAGGCAGAATCAAAAGGGCTGCAAAAAGCAGCTTTTAAAGAAAGAATGCGCAGAGGCGCTTGTAAAAAAAAAAAAAAAAAAAAAGCTAATTGAAAGGAAAGTTCATTGCTTTCTCTCCCAAGCCTAAAACCTGATTGGGGATTGTGCCACGGGGATGGGTTTGTGAGTGTTTTTTACAGTGCACCTCTCGTTGCGTGGGCTTTTACTTGCAGTTGGCAGGAAACCTAGAGTTCTGTCCTGGCCCACGTCCAACTTATCCTGTCACAGGTGCCTTTGTTGCGGGGAGCGCCCTTGTGGCTCTTAACTGCTCGACCTGTGCCCGCGGGGTGCGGCAATTGCCAGAGAGAGAGAGCAAGGCTTCTGCTTACTAAAGAGAGTGCGGTGGCAGAGAGAGCAACCTTGGAAAAAATAACCATTTTCCTAAAATACAACACACCCTACGCCCTCCGAAAAGCACTCAGAGTCATCTGCCCTTACCTGGGCTTTTGCACCCGGCTCCACCCACGTTGGTGTGTTGACCACAACTTAATATCCTCAGCTCATGGCCTTCAAGTCGCATCCCTGTTCGGGCACCAGATGTTGCAGACCCTGTCTAGCAGAGTCTGCCTGTTGTGGTTTATGACTAGAATCAAAGAAGATTTAATCAAAGAAGGTTTACAAAGAAGATTCAAAAACCACAATGGGATACCACTTCACACCAGTCAGAATGGCCATCATAAACAAAGCAATAAACAAGTGTTGGAGAGGATGTGGACAAAAGGGAACCCTAGTGCACTGTTGGTGGGATTGCAGACTGGTGCTATCACTATGGAGAGCAGTATAGAATTTCCTCAAAAAACTAAAAATGGATCAAAATTGCCTTTTGATTCAGCAATTCCACTGCTAGGAATATACCCTAAGAACCCTGAAACACCAATCCAAAGGGACCTATGCACCCCAATGTTCACAGCAACACAATTTACAATAGCCACATGCTAGAAGCAACCTAGGTGCCCATCAGTAAATGAATGGATCCAAAAACTATGGTACATTTACACAATGGAATTCTCTGCAGCAGAAAGGAGCTCCTACCCTTTGCAACACCATGGATGGAAATGGAGAGTATTATGCTATGTGAAATAAGCCAGGTGGTGAGAAACATACACTATATGATCTCAACTTTAACTGGAACCTAATCAACAAAATAAACAAGCAAGCAAAATGTAACCAGAGACATTGAAATAAAGAACAAAGAAGCCTTGGATGGGATGGCTCAGTGGATTGAGTGCTGGCCTACAAACCAAAAAGAACAAAGGGACAGTAACCAGAGGGGAAGTGGGAAAGGTTAATAGGGATAGAAAGTAAGGGTTTCGATGAACAACTATAAAAGACACATGGACAAAATCAAGGGGTCGTGGAAGCAAGGGAGGTATGTGAGTTTGGCTAGGGCGGTGGGGAGTGGTGGGGAATAAAAGCAGATAACTGTAACTGAACAATAAAATAATTAGAATAATAATAATAAATGTGGCTTAGAAGCCAAGCTCTGTGCACCAGGTGTGCTCACTGCTATCACCACTAGCAGGCTTCTCAGTGAACAGAATTAGGGAATATACACATTGTGTGTGTGTGTGTGTGTGTGTGTGTGTGTGTGTGTGTGTGTGTGTATAGAGAAAGTTATATATGTATGTATTCTTATCTCTATTTATTACTATATTTATCTACATATACTGGGTACTTTGAATTAATATATCCTATTCTAATCCAACACAACAGGTTTTCCCCCCCTTTCTGTGTTTGTACCTCCCTTTGCTGACTACGGTAAACTTGTTTCCCTTTATCCTTGATATATTTACTTATTTGGTAATTTCCCTTATGAAACCAATCCTTTGTCTGCCACCAAACATTTCCCTGGCGGAGGATGTTCTCCTTACCCTACTTGGGCTACAACAATCACCAGGCCCCCACACCTGTGGATGCCCGCCATATCCTGATAAGGCCCTGGTACTCTGCAATAGACTGCTCCAGATGTGGACACTGCTTGGCCTCTGATACTCCACCCCAGGGCACCCATCTGAGAGAAAGCCCTAATTCTCCTGCTGGGCCTGTGTTTCCCCAGGTCAAACAGCCTCCCTCATGTGGCCATTCTCATTAGCATGGGTGAACTTCAGCTCCCTGTACCAGGTAGCTCCACCCCCACCCCCGTTCCTTAGAGGTGCCTGCCTTACCTCTCCTGGCTGTGACACCCCATGCTTGACTGGCTGTCCATGAGGATGTCCCTCTTCCCTCTTTTTGACTCTAGGTCCCATTGCAAGGCAGCCTTATCCTCTGCATCAACATCCTCTGCTCGCCTCTCAAGCAGACACCCCAATAAATGAATCAAAAATAGGTAAAGCTCAACTGTAAAAATACAAAGAAATTTTAAATGGACACAAGCTTTGAAAAGACAATTTGCATAGAAATAAAAGCACAAGTACATGCAAAAGTGATCTCATTACATGCCAGAGGAATACTATGAAAAAAAAATGGGATAGCAACCCTGGCTGGGCAGCTCAGTTGGTTGGAGCACTGTCCTGTACACCAGAAGGTTGTGGGTTTGATCCCTGCTCAGTGCACATACCTCGTTTGGGGTTCGATCCCAGGTCTAGGATTGCCCTGATTGGTGTACAGGGGGCAACTAATCAATGTTTCTCTCAAATCGATCTCTCTCCCCCCCCACCCCCTTCCTCCTTCTCTAAAATCAAGAAACATATTCTTAGGTAGTGATAAAACAATCAAGACAGAATGCTAGAATACATTGTTGAAATAAGATCCAGCAATATATTTACTATGAATGAAATGTCCTTCATAGTAAAAGAATTCAGAAAGATTAGACATAAAACCATGGAATGATATGCCAAGCAAACATTGGGATGGCCAAAAAGTTTTTTTTCCTGTAAGATCACTCTCTGGTAGCACTTAGTTATCTTTACCTTCATTCGAAACAATTTTGTTAAGATTGCATTGTGACAGCTGTCATATCAGCATTCATATTTTAAAAAAACATCAAGATGGTGAACTTTTGCATAACCATTTTAATATTGAAGATGGAAGAAAATATGCAACATTTTTGGCACATTATGCTTTATTGTTTCAAGAAAGGTAAAAACTCAACTGAAACACAGAAAAAGATTTGTGCAGTATATGGAGAAGGTGCCATATACCTTCTCCATATGGAGAAGATGACTGATCAAACATGTCAAAAGCAGTTTGTGAAGTTCTGTTCTGGAGATTTCTTGCTGGATATTGCTCCATGGTCTGGTAAATCAGTTGAAGTTGATAGCAATGAAATCAAGACATCAAATGAGAACAATGTAATACCATGTGGGAGATAGCCAACATAATATATCAATAAAGTTATTGGTGAAAAATAAAGTTACTGTTGAAAATTAAATATTTATGTTTTATTTTATAGGAAAAAATAAGACTTTTTTGCCAAACCAATATAAAGTAAAGAATGCTAATGTGATTTCAAAGGGGAAGGGTTTGCAGGAACAAGCATAAAGGACACATGGACAAAAACAAGCTGGGGGTGGAAATGGGAGGGAGGTGGAGAGGGCTGGGGGCATGGGCTGGGATGGGAATAAAAGGCACAAAACTATACTTGAACAATTAAAGTAGAAAAAAATGCTAATGTGGCAACATTAATAACTGGCAAAAGGGAATTTGGATGAAAAGCATTCTTAGGGACATGTTATATATTGGCAAAAGGAATATGTATATATCTAACAATATAGTTCCAAAGTACATAAAACCCAAGCTACGACTGATTAAGTTCACAACTGTAATTGGAGATTTTAACATATTTTTCAGAAAACAATCAAGCAAAGCAAGCAGTCAAAAACTAAATGAATATTTAGAAGATTTGTGTAATATTTATTAAATGGGACATATTATAGAGAAATTTATCCTCAAAAATCAGAAAATATATATTACCCTCAAGTACAAATGAAAATATTTACAAAACTCATCTTGTGCTAGGTCACAAAGGAAGCATCAATATAGTCTACAAAGTTAACTTCATGCAAATCATGTTCTCTGACTATAATTAAATACGGAGGGAAAGCAATAAAATAGGCAACTTAAAAAAAAAAATCGTTATCTGTGCCCTGACCAGTGTGGCTCAGTTGGTTGAGCATCATCCCACAAAGTAAAAAGTCCCCAGTTCGATTCCCAGTCAGGGCATATGCCTGGATTGCAGTCCCAGTCCCCCATGGGTGAGCCTTCAGGAGGCAACTGATGTTGATGTTTTTCTCACACATCAATATTTCTTTTCCTCTCCCTCTCCTTCCCTTCTCCTCAATATAAAAATAAATAAAATCTTTAAAAATTTGTATCTGCAAACTACATATACAATGAAGGAACTCCTGAGTTAAATAAAAAATCATAAAAGTTAGAAAACAGAATTAAGTAACAGCAAAAACTCTACCTGCCATATTTGAGATACAGCTAAAACAGTATTAAGAGAAAAAATTTGCATCATTAAATACTTTGTTATAAAATAATCACTGAAGAAAAGCACTCAATGTTTGCTTATTTTATATCAAATACAAAGAAATGAGACAAAAAATTAAAGATGGAAGTGAGAACCAATGATACATAGTAAAGAGAATCAGATTTAACTAAAGCAGAAGCTGATCCATGGGAAGATTAACAGAAGCAGAACTCTGGCAAGAATGACCATACAAAACATAAAAATGAAGAAAGTGGGAGAAATACAACATTTAAACAAGAAGAAGCCATTTTATGACATTCAGAATGGCAAAAATTAGCAAGGTAAATAAGGTATCGGTAAGGATGTGGAGAAGTAGGTCCTCAGTACTGCTGGTGGGGTGTGAACTCATACGACCATTCTGTAAAGCCATTTGAAAAGTACCAGGAAAAAATCTTGCACAAACCACAGAGAAATAAGTATAATGTGGATAAATATAGAACAAAATGTATAAACAGTAATACAAACATCTTAATACAGTAGTTAGTGAAGAGTGAACAATAACACAGAACATTACAAAGGCAGCCCACCCTTCACGCCAGCAGTTTTCAAACACTTTGATTCCTGGACCCCTTTCCATTTTTAATAATTACTGAGGAGCCCAAAGAACTTTGCTTGTGAGAGTTATATTGACCCATATTGCCATATTAGAAATTAATGCTGACAACTTCCAAAAGTACAAACACACCTTCCACTAGCCATCAGAGCAATGATGTCATCACAGATCATGTAGCCTCTGGAAAATGCCTCTACATTTGTTAAATGAGAAAAAGGCAGTTTAGATCTGCATTCACTCTGAAAGCATCTTGTGCACTCCATACAATCAATGAGTGCCCTGTGCTGGCTGATCCAGGGATACATTAACTTCCTTTTCCTTCCTGCCTCTGTGATACTTGGGTAGAGCAAATTGCAATCTACTATAATACATATTTTGCATCAATAGTTGAGGTTCTTATGTGATAGAAACTACACAGAACATTTCTGTACATAATCCTCACAGCAATCTCAGAATTACTACTCTTTCCCCATTTTACAGATAAGGAAACTGAGGCCTGGAGAGGTTAAGTAATTTCCATTCAATGGTGACAGCTAACTTGGAATAGAATGAGGATTTGCTCCCAAATCTGATTCTGTAATTCATACTCTTAATAACAAAACTACATTGCTTCTTATGACTCTTATTTGTGTATTTTATCCACAAACTCTAGAAGAGAAGTTAGAGACACTAATATATGAGATCGATCTAGGGAAAACTATAATTTGGGCTTTAGTCCGAAATTAAAACTTCATTTCTCCATTATAAATGACTTCCCCAGTGTATACCTAGAATAACCTCCTTTTTTTCAACTGGACTCTTACTATGATCAGAGGGGTTGTGCACATACTTATATGACACAGTCTGCAAAAGAAACTTGTGAACTAGGATGGGCAGGGAATATCGGCTCCACTGGTATGAGGAAATAGATTTACAGTTTGCCTTTCCCAAGTTTGTAAATTGGGCAGAGAAGTAACTGAAATCCAGGTATTTTCATTTCAAATCTGATTATTTCTCTATATGCTAAAACCAAGATAATTTTATTCTATACCCACCACCAGATGAATTGTCAAAACTTTTGAAAAGTCTAGACTCTGGACTAAGAGAATTGCTCTTCTCACTTAATGTGCTCAAGGAACTTATATTTGGGTTCTGCAAGCCAGGAAAATGCCCCAGAATTGCAGCTACATTGTCACAGTAGAAATGAGTGTAATTTGAACAAAAAGACAACTGTTTTCCCTTACAGAGAAATAATCAGGTATCTTTGTCCAAGGAATGGAGACTTATATTTTATATTTTGCAAGGTATGATAGCAGCAGAGTCTATAGTTTAGATTTTGGCTCTTCCATGTAAGCACCGTTTCCTTGGTAGTTTACTAATGAATGATCACTAGTAAACTGGTATTAATAAAATAGCTAGAAGTGATAATGGTACCTGTCATTTATTAAACATTACCAGGCAAACACTGAATTAAGCATTTTATGTACACTGCTTCCTTTCCCTGTACTTGAGACTTTTAATGTATGTCATTTTTTGCAAGATCTTACTGAAACTGTACATCCCTGATATAAGGTTACTATTATTTCCCTGAATTTACATTTATAGTTATGAACCAAATATAATTATGAAGTTTACAAAAATAGAACTACAAAAATACCTTTTATGTGAGCCAGAAAAGCACTTACTTCCAATTCAGAGAAATGCATATTAAAGCTGAAGTGATGACAATAAGGTTATCTAACGGAAGTGGTTCAAAAGCTCTCAGAGCTGGATCACATAAAATTCTGAAAGTATAGGCTGCCTGTTCTATGACTTCAGCTGCTGGCTTGACATTCATCCACAGCTCCACCTGCCAATAGCTCTGCTGCTTATTGTCTATGGTTTGAAGTATTAAAGAGATCCTTAGTGGGGTACTACAAAGCCAGGTTAGGACACATGGATTCCACATAAGGTTGTTTCTAACACTTGACAGGTAGGGTCAGTACCTTTGCTTCCTTTTGCATAAAACTTGCGTGCCTGAATCTTGACTGTCCCACTTTCACGTACTCTAGTTGAATATAAAATTCTAGGTTGTAATTTTTCTTTGAGCATATTGAAAATTTGCTTATTTCACTCTCTTGAGATAAAACATCTGCTAAGTGATGTTTCTTTACAGGTAATCTAGTTTTCTTCATCTCTTCTGTATAGCACTTGATAAACTAATCTAGTATGAAGTCTTTCATTTTTCCTTAATTCTAGAAAACTGAGTATTTACCCAGTGTGTTCATTTGATTCTTCATTGTAACTTTATTCCTGTTTCATGTTTCCAACACACTCCTATTTAGTGAACAAACTGGATTAAAGGCTGATTAAGTGCCCAATCTTGTGATTATGAGAGGCTGAAAATCAAGTAACTGTTAAAATGCTACTGATATATCTAGTAAAGTGAGGTCAATGAGGCCACTGGAAACCTTAATAAGAACAGTTCCAATGGGTCGACAAGATGAAAATATGACCACAATGGGTTCAGGGAACAAAAAAATGAAAGAGGACAATCAAAAAAGCAAATCTGGTCAACCTTTCGTTGAGTTTTCTATAAAAGAAATGAGGTTTTTCTGTTGATTCTAGCTTGTACAGACAATACTTCCACAGTAATAAGGATACATAGGCAGATACTGGCAGGCTTGTAGAGATGCAATGGTGACAACTTTCAAAAGTTCTTTCCTGATACTTTTTATTATCTAGTGTCAACAGGGAGCAACATGCTAAGGGAGACGGTACTAGAGATGTGAGGATAGAGGTGAACCTACCATTACATTCTCATTTAAGAGGAGAACTTAGTAGAACTAGGCAACCAACTAACACTGATGATTAGCCAGCATTACTGTGATTGGTAAACATTTCCAGTTTAAAAAAAAAAAATCACAAAAACTAAAAAACCTGCTCTGTAGTCTGGTTTTTTTTTTTTTTACTAAATCTCCGTAAGATATAGATATTCTCATCTACCTTTGAATATACATGGGAAGCAGGAGGAATAGCATTTTTCCATGAGAGAAGCAGCCTACACAGAAATGTATAGTTCAGGGAACATTCAGAATTTCCCTTCCTCATAGCCTGATATACATACATAAAATTGCTACCATTTTATGCTCCTGTTACAAATTTTGTATTACCTATAATCTTAGGTCTTGACTTCTTCTTATTCCCACCACCACTATAAATTTTAAGGGTGTCATCTCTCATTCTATTCATGTTTTGCAAAATATATTGCCAGTTCCAGTTTATGATTTCTTAAGACCCTATAGTATATTCCAGAGCCTTCTCTGCATTAACCCAATATTCAGTTGAAATCTTTTTATATGTGTGTACCTTAAATGAACGCAATCAAGCCAGGTAAGTAATACTGAATCGCAATACATTGCAAGACTTTTGCTATTATTATTTCACCCAAGCCATTCTTTCTGAAAAAATAATTTGATATCATCTTATAACGAACATTTATTTGGTGAATGATTTTATACCAATAGATACTAAAATCAAACAATTTCTCATTTAAACAGAAAGCACAATCCCAATTTTCCCCCCATTAAAAGCCTACTCCATAACTGAAGTACCCAAAACCCATAAACCGTACTGCTAAAGAGGGGAAGTGAGGGGGAAAGACCGTAAACTTCCACAGGAAGGCTGTATAAATCTGGCAGTGATTTAGTACCCATCAGGCTGTGCCTAAGGGTACTACTGAGTCAGAAAAATTAACTGAAAATCTAAATTGAATATGTCGTTCTTAATAAGGCTCAGAAAATGACCATCTATTAATTATGCAGTGTTACATTATGTAAACTGAGATAATCAAAAAGTAAAGTAGACAATCTGGACTTTAACACCAATGTAGGTAAATCTGTAGATGTAAACAAATTAAAAAAGACATTCCGTAGCTCCAATTTAAAACAAACTTTCAGGACTAGAATCTTCAGAGTTCTCTAGTATCTTGAATATTCCCATCTTCTCTTTAATTGGTCCTGAGGCATTCATTTGATCTAAGAGAAAAATATTAAAACAAGTATTTATTTTTTTAAGTGTTAAGAACCTCAAGAGGAATACTGAAAAAGATGTCCAATATGTTGTTATGAGACATGAGTCATCTGCAAATATTTTAGAACAGAGAGAAACATGGAATAATGGTCCTGAAAGCAATCAAGTTCATTATTTCACAACTAGAACTGGCTCCAGGGAACGCACAAACTGAAACGTAAGTTTGCCAATTAAAAATCACTTTCACTAAATTTAAGATACAGATACAGAGAAATAAACCACCTGAATTGTGTTCTCAAATATGTCTTCCTTAAAAAGCCCAATCATGGTTAGTTTAATAGCAGATAAGACACTCTGAAATTTTATCTTTACACACACTCCCATTACCAATATGTGATCTTTTGTCAATCTAATAGGTGGGGAACAGTATCTCTGAAGTGAATTATTCTGATTTCTAGGAAGGGTGAACTATCGTTGTATGTCCCCTGGCTCTTCTTACTTTCTCTCCTGGTAATTGCTGGCTCATATGTTGTCCATTGGTCTTGTTAATTTTTACTTATTTATGTATGATACACATTTCCTGTCTACTGTGTTGCAAATTTTTGTGACTTGTTCTCCTTATTTCTACTTATGGTATTATCTTTTTCCTGATGTCTTTAAATTATTGCAATAAAATCTATCAAATTGCTTATTTACCTTGTGAGATGTTAAGATTTCTTTTCCTGTCTTGAAGTCATACACGTATTTTCCTATCTTTCAAGTTAAAAGTTATGCTTTTATTACTTAGGTTTCAACTACTTAGATTGTTCATTTTTCTTGTTTGTTTTTGAGCATGGTATGAGGTTTTCCCTGATTGATTACAGATTGCCCCAGCATCATGTACTGAATGAGAGGAATTTCACCTCCTCCACTTGAAACACTATTTCTATCATTTATAGATTTTTCCATGTAAGTTTGGTTGATTTTCTAGATTTGCCATACCACTACTTAATATAACTCATGTTAGTTCTTTTTTTAGATTTAATTATTTATATTTAGAGAGGGGACGGGAAGAAGAGAGATAGAGAAAACATCAATGTGTGGTTGCTTCTCTCGTACCCTCTACAAGAGACCTGGCCCACAACCCAGGCATGTGCCCTGACTGGCAAACAACCAGTGACCCTTTGGTTTCTAGGCAATCCACTGAACCACACCCACCAGGGCCATATGTTAACTGTTGACTGTTAGGACTTTTTAATTAAGTCTTAATACCTGGTATGATCTGTTTTGTTCTTTAAAACTGTCCTGAGTTTTGTCCTTTTACTCCTTCATAAAAATCTTAAAATCAGCCTGTCCAAAGTTCTTTAAAAAGTCATATCGAGATTTAATTAATCAAAAAATAAGTCCTGGCTGGTGTAGCTCAGTGGTCTGAGCACAGGCCTGTGAACCAGAGGATCGATGTTTGATTCCCAGTCAGGGCATATTCCTGGGTTGCAAACCAGTTCCCTGCAGGCCAGTTCCCAGCGGGGGATGCATGAAAGGCAACCATACATTAATGTTTCTCTCCCTCTCTCCTTCCCTTCCTCTCTAAAGATAAATAAATAAAAATCTTAAAAATAAATACATAAATTAAATAAAAAATAAATGTAAAGCATATAAGTGAAGTTAAGGAATACTGATTTATTTTTAAATACTAAACATTCATATCTATGAATCTGGTTAATTCTGTACATTTATTCAATCTTTCTATTCATGTTCTTCCATGTATCAGTTTCCTCCATAAGGACTTAAAGAAATTGTTCTATTTAATCACAGTCATGTTATCTAGTTTTATAGCTATTACTGTCAGATCTTATTTTCTGAACAACTATTACAGACACACTTAGTATTAATTTATAAGCATCCTTCTTGAATGCTGTTCTTAAAAACGTCTAGATTATTATACCACCTGCAAATAAAAGCAACATGAACTTTCATACTATTATTCCTCTAACCTATTTTTATTATTTCACAGTATTAGTTAGAAATACTGTATATACTGTGCAATGCTATGAGAGCTGTTACCCTCAAATGTTTTTTTCAAAAATCCTCACCCAAGGACATTATTTCATTACTTTTAGAGACACAAAGATTGATGTGAGAAAGAAGCATTGATTGGTTGCCTCCTGTACACACCGGGACCAGTGACTGAACCCACAGCATAGATATGTGCCATAATACGGAACTGAACCTGCAACCTTTCAGGTGCTGATTAAAGCTCCAACCAACTGAGCCACATAGGCCAAGGCTATCCTCAAATGTTTTTTTTTAAAGCTCTCATTTTATTTACAGAGTAAGGGAAAGTAAGAAAGACAGGGAGAGAAACATCCACAGGGGACCTGGCCTGCAACCCAGGCAAGTGCCCTGATAGAGAATCAAACTAGTGACCTCTCAGTTTGTAGGACAACACCCAACCCACTGAGCGAAATCAGTCAGAGCTATCCTTGAATGTTCTTAATTTTAGTAGTAGTTTCCCTACATGAATGCATTTTTATCAGATTAAGAACATTCTTCTGTATGCCCAGTTTAAACATTGAGGGATGATTATGTTTTTTCAAGTGGGTGTTTATTAAGTAGTTCTCCTTTCTTCAGTTACTATGAATTACTATTTTCAAATGTTACACTGTGGTGCTGATTTTTGATAATATATGTACGATTTGGTCATAATGCTTTTTCTTCCTCTCCCATATTTTTCCATGAACTATTTGAATATTATAATGCATATAAACATACTAAGAACTCAGAATAGCTAAAACTCAAATGTATTTAAGAGCTAAAACTATAATTCTTAAAGAAAACATCATGACCTTGGGTTCGGTAAAGATTACTTAGACACAATACCAAAATCATGAGATACAGCAACAGGAAAAGTAGAGTTCATCAAAGTAGAACTTTTGCCCTTCAAAAGGCACTAATTAAGAAAGATTAAGACACGGGCTGGGAGAAAATATTTACAAAACATATCTGATTAAAGGACTTAATGTAGAATATATAAAGAATTCTTTTAAGTCACTAATAAGACAAACACAATTTTCAAAAGATATTTGAAACCCCTGGCTGATATAGCTTAGTGGATTGAGTGCAGGCCTGCAAATCCAAGGTTCACAGTTTGATTCCCAATCGGCACATGCTCGGGTTGCAGGCCAGTTAGTTCCCAGCAGGGAACACAACAGAGGCAACCATATATTGATATTTCTCTCCTTCTCTCCCTTCCCTTCCCCTCTAAAGGTAAATTTAAAATCTTAAAAAAAAAAAAAAAAATATTTGAGAATCAAAGTTGACACTATACATAGTGGTATGCTAGTGAGTATCTTGCAAATGGCTCTCTCCCTCCAAACAGGCTTATAGTTTTTGCCTGTTTCCACTGTTTTAAATATTCTTAGCATGACCAATAACAAGGCACCAATGTTGTTAATACACTGAACACAGAGTTGCAAAAAGATGAGCAGTAGCACACCACTATATAGTATTTCTACCAGAGACAAAATATACATAAATAATCAAGAGCACAGGTATCAATAATGTTATAAAATAATTAGGAAATGTTGAATTTTTAATATTATATTTGTGATCACCACAATAGGTACCACTTAACTCATTATTTTAAAAATTGATCAAGAAAAGAAGTAATTTATCCCACCTCATCTGCACAGATTATATCTTAGAGTAACAACCAAAGAGTATAACAAGGAAAAGTTCTTAATAAAGTAACTTCCAGCCAATAATGGAATGGTAGAACAACAACAAAAAAAGTCACCATTTTGTAATCCTTAAGAAAAAAAAAGTTCAAAACAATCATCATCAGTAGATGCTAAAACTATCAGGTTAAATAAATGGTGACAAAACTATAATATTAAAACCAGCCCAAATCTGCTGCTCAATCTTAGCTCACTAAAAATAAATTCTGCTATTATGTGCCTCCTAGTATGATTTCAAATATGAGAACAAAGCACTTGTATTCCTAAATTATGGAACCTGGAGGTAATTATGCCTACAGAGCTATATTTACACAAGCTACTCATTACTTTACAGAAAGAAAATAAGTAGACAGAGGAAAAAGTCAAAGGAAAATACAGGGGGCAAGGGGGGAAAAAATCAGCCCTTCAGAATCTAGGTCATTTTATAGAACAAATTAACAACTTTCTCCGCAAATGACATAAAAAAACAAAAGTGAGGAGGGTGTTATAGAAAAAAAAAAAAAAGGGACTTCACAATTCATGAAATTTGTATCCTGATTCAAACAGTAAAAAGATTCGAGACAACTGGGGAACTCTGGATATGGATTAGATTAGTGCCAACTCTCTTAAATGTAATAATGACACAGTGCCTATGTTTGAAAACATGTTCATTTTAATATATGATGCATGAGAAAGATATGGGTGAAATGTCATAATTTAAACATTCTGACAAAAAAGAATAGCAATGAAAAAGTAATGACTAAATGCTATTGAACTATTGAAGATGAGTGGGTTTATACATACAGGTACATTATACTATTCTCTCTATTTATGTATATGTTTTAAAGTTCCCATGAAAATAAAAGCATGAGAGATATTTACCAATAAGGTCACTTCGATCTAACAACAACTCTAGATCTTCATCACTAATGACTTTCTCTCTTGATCCTTTTACTTCCCTATAAAAGAAAGCAAAAAATCAGGTCTGTATGATAAACCAAAACCATGAATTACATTTTTCTAAAATTAAAAAATCTTACCTTTCATAATCTCTAGATTTTAATAATTCCATTAATTCCTTAGGGTCTAAGAAGGTCTTAGATGTATTTAATCCAGATTGACCACCCTTGAAATGATCTAGAAAAAGTTTTCAAGAAATTCAAAACACTCAAAATTGTTTTTAAAACCTAAATACAAACTAATCAGAATTGCTTATATTAAAAACGACAGATAAAACCTTGTGTTAGTAAAGAAGAAAAGCAACTGAAAATCTCAAATTTCATTGGTTAGAGTGTAAAAGAGTATGTTCACTTGGGAAAAGTTTGGTAGTTTCCTATAGGTAAACATATATTTATCATAAGACCCAGAACAAATAAATGCTTAAGTACACAAATATCTGTATAGGAGCATCTTACTCTGTCAAAGTCTCTAATTCAATCGATCGATAGAATGGATAAACTATTCAGCAATTATTAAAAATAAACCACCAAACTTCTAACACACGCAACAGATAAATTTCAATATATGATGTTCAGCAAACTAGCTAGAAAGAAAAAGGACATAAACAAAGGATGCAAGAAACCTACTTGGACAATGGAAATATTTGTGACTTTGATCTAGAGCAGGGGCCCCCAACCTCCGGGCTGTGGACCAGTCCAGGGTTGTTAGAAACCAGGCCCTAGAGCAGGTGAGTTCAAACATAACGTGCTTGAATCATCCCAAAACCATGGACCCCTACCCCGGTCCATGGAAAAACTGTCTTCTATGAAACAGGTCCCCAGTGCCAAAAAGGTTGGGGATTGCTGTTGTAGAGGATTGCTACATGAGTATAAATGAAATCTGTATGGAAAAAGTCTAGCCAGTTAATATAATGAGAATGGTTTGCACGACACTGATGTAACCTGGCAGCTATGGCAAGAGGACTGGAGTGTGCATGTGTGAGCAATGATGACTTCACTGTGCTAGTCTGTGAGGGCAGTAGACACCTCTGAGTGAGCATGTGTAATGTCGGGCCATTGCATTCAAAATGACTGAGCCAGTAGAGGAACGAATCTACATCAAATTTTATAATAAGCTTAAACATTCCTTTGTGGAAACTATTTGCATGATTCAGAAGGCCACAGCTATGGGCCCACTCGTGCATCTCATCTTGTGCAGAGGTTCTGGAGAAATATCAAATCACCCAGGTGACTCAGCCCTCCTCTCCTACCCAACTCTAATAGCCCAGATCTGGTGCCCCGAGACTTCTGACTCTTCCCAAAACTGAAATAACCTTTGAAAGGGAAGAGATTTCAGACCACTGATGAGACTCAGGAAAATACAACAGGGCAGCTGATGACAGTTGGGAAGACTGTGTGAGGTCCAAAGGTAGCTACTTTGAAGGGGACCGAGGCATCTTTGTCCTATGTATGATGTTTCTTGTATTTTCTTCAATACATGTCTATTATTCACATTACATTGCTGGATATTTTCTGACAGACTTTGTTGTACATAGCTCAAAATTCACCAAGCTGCACACTTAAAATCTGTACATATCTCTATAAAACTTAATACTTAAAAAATTCCTTTCAAATTACTGACAAATTTAATTTCAGACCTGGCTGGTGTAGCTCAGTGGATTGAGTGTGGGCCTGTAAACCAAAGGCTTGCAGTTCGATTCCCAGTAAGGGCACATGCCTGGGTTGCAGGCCGGTTCCCAGTAGGGGACACGTGAGAGGCAATCACATATTGATGTTTCTCTCCCTCTCTCCTTCCCTTACCCTCTAAAAACAAATAAATAAAATCTTTAAAAAGTTTTTAATTTCAAAATACTGAAAATAGAGCGTAGGAAAATAAAACTATGAACTTTACTTAATTTAAACTATATTCAGTAAACAAAGTACATAGTCCATCAAATTCCTAAAGCAGCAGATGAAAAAATTTTAATCTGTACAAAATCTTCTTAGGATAAAGTTCTTTATTCCTCCAATATGTATTTTAACTACAATCTGAATGTTATACCAAGTCAAATAAAAAATGCCCATAACCTAATCCATATTTCCCTCAAAAATCCAATGCACTAGAGAAAGTATAGCAGGTCCCTAAATAACGGTGTTTATAACACCAATGAGATGCCACCGGAACATGACTTTTGTTTTATTAAGTAGCCTACGGTAAAACTAGTTTTGTGATACATCATTTCGTCTCAAGTCACAGAACCTATCAATAATATGAAGTGAGGAATTACTGTATGTCCAAGTGAGAAAGTAGCATAAAATACATTGATAGTAATTACAAAAAAATTTTTTTTGCTTTATTTTTAGAGATAGGCAAGGGAGGGAGGGGGAGAAACATCAATGTGTGGTTGCCTCTCACACACCCCCCCTCCTGGGGACCTGGCCCACAACAACATAGGCACATGCCCTAAGCTGGAAATCAAACCAGCAACCCTTTCATTCACAAGCTGGCACACAATCTAATGAGCCACACACACCAGCCAGAGCCACTGACAGTAATTTTCAACATTATGATGATGTTCCCATTTCTCTAGGCTTTACAACTAACATATTTTCTACCTTTCTTATGGTAGCCATAGTCATTTTTTCAAATATAATTTTACATTCAATTAATAAAAGGAAAATGTCTTCAAAGAATCACAAGGAACAGAACAGAAAAGGCCCATGCCTCACCCACTTTATTTCCCCTACTCCTCAAATTCTTTCTAGATTAGAAAACACTATTTTTTTTAAATACCATGGTCAAAAGTATGAAAAAGGCACTCTTGGAGTAAAAAAGTTCTTGAATGAGTGGTTCAATAAAGTAAGTTGATTTTTTAAAAAATAGCACTACTTCAATGTACCTTCCACATTCTAGTATTTAATACATTGAACTGGTAGAAGAGGCCTAGAAATTTTCTTAAATCTTCTGACAAGCAAATCTCTTACCAAGAATTAAGATCATTTCAAATCCCTAACATATTTGACAGGCACTCTGAAATTATCCTTGAAACTTTTCTCAGCCCCCTTTGTTCCTCATGTAGACATTCATTAATTTTTTTTATGTCTAAGGTCACCAACCTAAGTCTTTACTTAAAGCTCCAAATCTCCCACTGCTTATTTAGTTAATGCTGAACTAATCAAGCCTTGCAAATTTCTCTTACAAAAAAAATAACAAAAACTACAACAAAGAAACTGAAGGAAAATATACCAGAAAGTGAATCTTACTTTTATGGATGATCAGCTTTTCCAGTTTCCTTTTAGCAGCTGCTCTTTCCACAATTTTCTGATCAATAGTATTTGCTGTAACAAGACGATACACAACAACTGGCTTCGTCTGACCTATTCTATGACATCTGTCCTGGGCCTGAAGATCAGACTGAGGGTTCTTAAAAAAAAAAAAAAAAAAAAAGGAAAAATAACTTTTAACAATATAAGGTTAAAATTATTTAAACTTAAACTATGCCTGGGTACAGTCTATATGTACAACTAATAATCAAGGGTGTCCATCCTTTTGGCACCTCTGGGTCACACATTAAGTACAATGTGACATGTAAACACAAAAAAAATTTTTTTAAGTAAATTTATGATTTTGTGTTGGGCCACATTCATAGCCATTCTGGGCCACACACAGCTCATGGGATACAGGCTGGACACCCCAAAAGAGTGTCTTTTTCAATTTCTATAGTGGCTTCACTGATAGAACAGATTCAAGTATTAATACACAGGACACCTGAAAAATTATTTTTACTCATTATAGATACCTCTTCAAAACAAATAAATGAAACTGCAAGGCATACAATGAAAGATTTTAAAAACCTTTGGAATGTAAGATCAGCATATTATTATGCTTGCACTTACCCAATCACTATCATAAATAATAACTGTATCTGCTGCAGTCAAATTAATGCCCAGTCCACCAGCTCGTGTACTCACTAAGAAGATAAACACATCTGGATCTGTGTTGAAGTTGTGCATCTAAAAGCAAAGAGGATGTGAGACAGGAATTAAGAAACTTTCTGCCTGGAACGTTAATAAGTTGCTGCATGTGGAACAGCTATCTTACTAGCATATGTTTACCAGGAAAAGAAGGGGAGGTCAGTGGTGGGCCAAGGTTTATAGATATAACCCAGCATTCTTCAAACTTGATATGAGTTCTTCAGCATCCACAGGACTTTTGATGCGAGGTAAATATTGAAAACCCCAGAAGGCATAAAAGTTGAAAAAGACCAATTTTCTGAAAAGAGACAAAAGTGCCAAAGACTCACCTCCCATTATACAAAAACGTATAGACATGCCTACTCCTCAGTCTGTGGCAAAAAACCAGGGGCCTTAGGACATGCTGTATGTATCATTACCACCTTAAGAGAGGCCTGAGCAATTCAAGCTCAGGCTGGTCATTCAAGTGCCCCAGGACTCTTTGACTGATGATACTCAGTAAAAACCCTGGACACCAAGGCTCAGGTGAGCTTCCCTGGTTTGCTTCTCATGCACTATTACAAACTATTGTTGGGATAAATAAGTGCTGTCTGTGTAACTCCCCTGGAAACTCACATCTACTTTCTCCTGGACTTCACCTATCTGACTTTTCTCTTCGCCCATTTTAATCTGTATCATTTCACTGTAATAAACCATAACCATGACAGAAAGAGGCTTGAACCAAAAACACTGAGAGATTATTTTTACATACAACTATTAAACATGTACCTGAGGGAGGCCAACTCAATCATTCAGGTCCACAAAACAATTATGTTAATAAAATATCTGCCCATGTTAACTTCATTTATTTTCTAAGCATCTATTTTATTAAGATCTTAACTTTGCTTTAAAAAAAACCTCTAACCACAAGGCAAATTTACGGGAGATTATCTAACATTAGAAAACAGTATTAGAAAAGATTATAAAAATATTAGGAAAAAAAATCTAGACCGTCCTCCCTCAAAGAATGGTGATAAAAATACCCCAAGTAGTTGATTAGGAGACAAAGTCAGCAGGAAAGGGGGCTTACTCTGAAGGAGCATGGAGAAAGTTTTTGAGTAGGTGGGTAATGTTCTAGATCTTGACAGTTGGTGTATTCATTTACATATACATATAAACCAAAACTCAGCAAATGCACACTTTCTCTTATCACCTTTGGAATATGCAAGTATTACTCCAAAACACAAAATACACTGAAGTAATTAGAAAGAAGTACATGTCAGCTGTTAGTTTAAAACACACCAAAGAAGATAGAATACCGAATGGATACAATAATGAATTTATGCTATATCATGGTATGCAATTAAAAAAAAAAAGTCCTAGTGGCAGGTTCTAAGTGGATTTACAGGTGGTTGCTGTCAAATTGTTTCAACTGCTATTATTGAAATTTTCATAGCAAAATGTTGGAAGAGCCAAAATGGAGAAAAAAATTTCCTGTATCCTATTACAGTGACTGTTGTGTGAGTAGAATACTAAGTAAGGTTGTGCCAAAGATATAGTATATAATTTGATAAAAATTAAAACTAAATCAAAATGCTTGTTTTTGGTCCTGCTATAGGGCTTTAGGTCTTTTGTATCTCTATCATCAGTATGTGAGTCTACTTAGAATATTATTTGAGAAATCAAGATAACAGTTACAAAAAAGAAATGGTGTGTATGATATAAGTAGTCTTACATTTTCCTCTCTCTCTGAATAAGACATGGATCCATCAAGTCTGCTGAAGTTGAAATTTCTAAAGTGGCAGAAATCCATCAAAATGTCCAACATTCTTGTCATTTGTGAAAACAGTAGCACCTAAAATTTAAATGTTCTTAGTATCTATACTGATTAATAAAGAATAATTAAACAATAAAAAAATCCACCAAAAGTACCACCTTGTGACCTCTGATTTTTAGTTCTGGCAGCATTCGATCCAAAATTAGGAATTTCCCAGAATTTGTTACTAATTCTTCATCAACCTTAAAAGTGGTCAAAGAAAAAAAAGTCACAACCATGACTAATAATTTAGCTTTCAAAGTAAAAGCCATGTGACTAGTTCAATTTTTATAAAGTGCAAAAAAAATTTTAAGTTTGACCTTGTTATTTCTTTTTATTAGAACATAATTCTTCCTCTAAGAAAGACATACTATAGAACTGAAACCCTACTTTGCAAAAACAAAATTCAGTTTAAGTATAACCTTGAGTTGTCCTCCTCACCTCTTCCCAAAGGCTTTGTGTAAGAGAATAAGGTCAAATGTACAGCATACACATTGAGGTTTATTCTTTATCACCAAGTATATTTTTAAGTAAATTATGTATGAAAATCCCTGCTAGAACTCTCAGTAGATATTAAAGAAAACATAGGAGGAGTTTATAAATAACCTAGCATTGAAGATTAAGAAATTATTCACCTTCTGGGGAATATCAATTACGTCATCAGGTTATCTTCTTTTTTATTCGAATGAAACACTATAAAGCAGTGTTTCTCAAATATGGGCAATTTCCCCACCACTCCTAGGGTATGTCTGGCAATGTGTATTTTAGGTTGTCACAACCAGGGGAGGGGAATGCTACTGGCATGTAGTGTCTAGAGGTAGGAATAAATTATGCTAAATGGCCTACAATCCACAGGAAGACATCTCCTAGACAAAGAAATATGCTGACCCCAAATGTCTTAATTCCAGAGGTGAGCAACCCTGTTATAAACTACTGTGAAACAGGGTGGAAGATTGCTTACAACTTATTTCCTTTAATACTAAGATATTTTTCCAACATATGCCCAAGTAAGCAATTTCATTTAATCTGAAGTCCACAACTGAATACCAACTTTCTAATTTTCTTCTGTGACTCTTGGTTGAAATGTAAATGAGGATCAGAATAGTTTTGACAAGCTGAATGCCAACTAAAAGGAATACTGAAAAGGCTGGCAACTAAAGATGTCTCTAAATTAGCTGCATTACTGAAAAACTGTATCTCAGACTTTTCCAATATGGAAAGTGACACTTTCTCCAGAAATGAGAACAGCGCATTCATTATTAAATGATATTTACCTTAAACTCTTGTGTGACTGGGTCTATAGGATACTCAATCAAATATGGATGATTACAGCATTTACGAAGTAGCATCATTACATTCTGCAGCTTCAGATTGACTTCAGAATCTACAGGAAAATTCACTTCCACAACAGGTCTAACAAAAATATATAATCCATGAGTACAAAAACCAAAAAAATACCAGTTTAAAAGATACCTTATTTATTTTTAATCCTAACCCAGGGACATTTTTTCATTGCTTTAAGAGAGAGAAACATCAATGTGAGAGAGAAGCATAGACTGGTTGCCTTCTTGTACATGTCCCAACCATGAATCGTACCCACAACCTGGGTATGTACCCTGACTGGGAATCAAACCCCGCAACCTTTTTGGTCCATGGGACAATGCTCCAACCGACTGAACCACACTAGCAAGGGCAAGGATACTTTATCTTTAAACTCATACCTTTCTCGGTCTAGCTCTGGTTGTATCTGACTGATCAATTTTTCCAATTCATTAGGGGAATCATCTACTTCACTGTAATTTATTAACTTTCTAGTTCGCCGTTTTGGTCGTCCAGTAGAACTTAGCTGAACTGTTTCTTTCTGAAAGAGAACAAATTAAAGGATTAAAAAGCTATAGCCTTAAATTCTAAATACATACAAAGTAGAGTATAATATTTTCATGTATAAAATGTTTTAAGATAAAAAGAAAAAACAAATTTTTCTTTCATCATCAATTTTAGTAGTTTCCAAAGACATAAAATCAAGGATCTGTGAAATAAGGCTCCACATATCTACATTAGAGGGTAGTTCTATGGACTGGTATAACCTTGCAATGTAATTCCTCATGACTGGCAACTACTATAAGTGTCTAATAATTAAAAAGGCAGGCATATAGTTAAAAACCTGGACATTTAAGCAAAATTTAAAGGTGTCCTAATCTTCAGTTACAAAATAATCACATCCCACTTGAATCTATATAATATGGCAGGTGACTAAAGAAGGTATTTCTTTAAAATAGAGTGTTGTATTAGAATTTTTGGCTGTCAGTGACATCCTATGAAGGGATTGTGTTTGGGTTTGTTTGTTTTTTTTTAAGACGTTTATTTATTTGTCTTTGGAAGGGAAGGCCAAGGAAAGGGAAGGAAAGGAGAGAAGGAGAGAAATATCAATGTATGGTTGCCTCTCATGCATCCCCTGCTGGGAACTGGCCCGCAACCCAGGCATGTGCCCTGACTGGGAATCGAACCACGATCCTTTGTTTTGCAGGCCTGCACTCAATCCACTGAGCTACACCAGCCAGGGCGGGATTGTGTTTTTGGGATTGGTCTAGTCGGCAAGACTTTAATACACTGTGTGTCTGTTCAAATCAAAAATCTTAACTAGCATTCCAAATGACTAGAGATACTAATGAATAAACCATCGCTTAAATTTTAATAGGACCATACCATCACTGGCTTTATGCCTTTTACTCCTGTTAGAAAGTCACCCTCATGAAGTCCTGAAAACAGATGAGTTACAAGACTGAAGTCAACCATGAAACTTTCTATGCCAATGTCATTTACAATATATTGTAAATCCACATCCTACCTCAATGGTTCCAAACATGTTTGCGATTGTCCGGTTCACAATGGCTGTATAAAAGATCTCTTGTTTCTTTGAAAGGGGTGCATAAACAACTACTTCTCGTTTAGGAGGAACTTCAAGAGCAACATCAGATTTTAGTCTTCTCAGTAAGAAAGGTGTTAGAATCTAAAATGTAAACATGAATAAACATGTGAATTCTGTACACTCCTGTGCTTTAGGGAACACTCTCACCACAGGTCCCATTCTCTTTTTCCCCCTATATAAATATTATTAAGTCTCAGAAGATGAGATTAAAAAAAGGTCTCCTTGAAATTTTCCCTGACCAGATCCCCTAATGACTAGATCCCCCTAATGACACTCATAATGTTTATGTATAGCCTTTCACAATGTATTTATTATTTTAATGTATCTTGAATATTTTTAAAAGCTCAAATAAGTAATATCTGTACTTCTTAGGGTAAAACTTACATCCCACAGCTTTTAAAGTAATGTTTTGGATTAGTAGAATACCAATGATTCAACCAACCCAGAGATCTGGTCATGAAGACCTTCTACATTATAACATTTGAGGTTTAAAATTGCTCTCATTCGCTGTGCAATGACAAGTGATTTCAACATTTACAAAACAACACAGAAACACGGAGCTCCAGTGGCGCAATCGGTTAGCAAGCGGTACTTATAAGACAAAACAACATAGAAACAATACATAATTACATTATTATTAAACTACTTAGTCTTTAGAAGAAATATCCCAGAGGTAAGGAGTCAGTAGGAGACTTTACAAGAGAAAGAAAACATTACCAATAGTTTTTTTAAAAAGTCTCTTTAGATATCAGCCCAGAAACAAATATATCTAAAGGAACTCAGAAAGAAAGGGGAAAAAATATGGTAGGGTACATATGACTTGGTGTATTATTTTTACTTTCCATTTCTATACAATTTCAGAGTTTTATTATAAATATGTATAAGCTTTTTTTTTTTTTAAGATTTTTTATTTATTTATCTTTAGAGGGGAAGGGGGGAAGGAGAGAGGGAGAGGAATATCAATGTATGGTTGCCTTTCTTGCGTCCCCTGCTGGGAACTGGCCTGCAACCCAAGCATGTGCCCTGACTGAGAATCGAACCGCGATTGTGTCGTTCGCAGGCCCACGCTCAATCCACTAAGCCACACCAGCCAGGGCACAAATATGTATAAGCTTTAAAGTGAAAAATTATAAGGATTTTTAATGAAGCTGTCAAAACATAATTAAGATTTTTATGTCCAAATAAACATATCAGTAACCATTAGAGGTCAAATGAATATACATTAAAAGGGCAAATTTTCAAAATGCACTTGAATTCTGTTCTAAAGCCACATGACCTCTGGGTGTAGGGGTATACGCTAAACTTAGGAAGTAGTTCATTTTTCAAAATCTACTACAAAGAGGTGAATAGTGGATTTCTAGGTTCCCTTTTAAAATTCTGAGTCTACAGTAACCAAAATAAGAATAAAAGCCAAAACCTGGTGCAGCATATGCAATACATTCTGTTCTCTTTCTTTAGCAATAATATCTTCAGCAGTTTCAGAAAGACTAGTGATATCAAACCAAGATTCAAAGCTGTAAGAGAAATTATTACAAGTTAAGCTATCACATAAATTAATTATATAACAAGATACATTTTACATTTTATATTAACTTGAATGTTAAAAAGCAGATATTTTCTTATTTATTGATTTTAGAGAGCAAAGAAGGGAGAGAGAAAAATATTTATTTGTTGTTTCAATAATTTATGCATTCACTGGTTGATTCTTGTATGTGTGCTCTGATCAGGAATGAAACCTGCAACCTTGATGTATTGGGAGGATACTCGAACTGTGCTAGCCAGCCAGCGCAGACGGAGGTATTGTCTTAAGGGAACATTTTTTTTTCCTGATTTATACACTAATCTAATCTTCCAACCATATGAAAAATCAAATAAACATTAAGGTACATATTCTTTTGTTGTTTTTTAAAAAGCAGACTGCCACATACAGCACCTCATTTGGATGTGTCTGGAGTCTTGGAAGCTTGACTACCCTACATTCTACTACAAATGGACCTTGAGAGCTTGCCTGAAGTAGTTCTAGCAGGGGAGTGCAGCCACTGCCGTAAGTGGGACAGAAAAACATCCCTTTTCTCCCAGGGACTTTCAATCTCTTCTTCAACCTAGCACACAGCTTCAGGAGGAACACACACGAAATGGTGAGGGACAAGGGGACACGCACCTCGCCTACTAGATTAATCAAGCCTGGTGATCAATGGGGTGATAGGTGTTGCAGCCAGATAACCCTCACATCCTAAGGTACATACTATATACAACAGTTTAGTGGAGAAATAGAAACAAAAAAACTATCTCTGAAATCCAAGCTGGTATAATCTCTCTCTAGATATAAATATGACCTGCTGCAACTAATGTCTTTAAAATTCAACATATTTAATCAAACCTACTATATAGTCTTAGTTATTCACAATGTAAAAAAGTAAGTATAAGACTTCCTTAAGTCTACACTAAGTAAACTTATATTGTTGGGTAAATGCAATTGGAAAAAATATTAGCAATATTTACATTCAGTAGTTAGACCAGATATTCCCAAACTTTGAGCACCAGAAGCACATTTTATGAATTTAGATTCCAAGCTCCTATCTCAATGTTTTAACTCAGTAGGAATGTATAAAACATAGAAAGATTGTCCTTCACAAATGTTCCCTACTAACTAACAGACAGCCTAGTCTTGGACCAACATTTGGTAACCAGAGGTGAAAATTTTAACTTTCAAAATAAAACATTCAACTTTCCCAAATTAAATTAGCTTTCCTCTTTCACTGATGCCAAAAGAAATCAATTATTTTGCTCTCCTGAATTTGATATTTCCATCTTAATTATTTTTAACTTTTGTTAAGATCATTTTCTCTTCCATTCCCAGCATACTATTTTCTGAAAACTATTTTTATTTTTTGGTTTTCATAATATAAGCTAAGATTCAAACAGTTTATAGAATTAAAAGCACTAGGTTAAGATAAAGACACAACAAAGAAAGAAATCTTCAGGTCAATATCGCTGATGAACACAGACACTAAAATCTTCAACAAAATATTGGCAAACTGCATCCAGAAATACATTAAAAAGACCATACACCATGACCATGATCAAGTGGGATTCATTCTCAGGGATGCAAGGATGGTACAACATTCAAAACCAATAAATGTAATATACCACATAAAAAAAAGACAAAAATCACATGATCATATCAATAGATGCAGAAAAAGCATTTAATAAGGTACAGCACACTCAGAAAAGTGGGAATAAAGAGAGGATACATCCACAAAATAAAGGCCATATAGAAGAAACCTACAATCAACATCATACTCAATGAGCAAAAACTAAGTTAAAGCTTTCCTGCTAAGATCAGGAAGAAGAAGACAAGGTTGTCCATTTTCACCACTTCTATTCAACATAGTAATGGAAGAAGTCCTAGCCACAGCAATCAGACAAAAGAAAAAAGAGAGAAATAAATGGCATCCAAATTGGCAAGGAGGAAGCAAAACTGTCATTATCTACAGATGACATGATAGTGTACAAAGAAAATCCTATAGACTCCACCAAAAAAACTACTTGACCTAATAAGTGAATTTGGCAAAACAAAATAATACAAAGTCAATATTCAGAAATCGAAGGCATTTTTGTATATCAACAATGAAATATCAGAAACAGAAATCAGAAAAAAAATCCCACTGGATATAGCAACAAGTAAAGTACCTAGGAATAATAAACCTAACCAAAGAGGTAAAAGACCTGCACTCAGAAAACTATAGAACACTGAAGAAAGAAATTAAGGAAGACACAAACAAATGGAAGCATGTACCATGTTTATGGACTGGATACATTAACATCATCAAAATGTCCATAAAACCCAAGGCAATCTATAGATTCAATGTATTCCCTATTAAAATACCAATGATATTTCACAGAAATACAATAAACACTTCAAAAATTTATATGGAACCCTAAATGAGCCCCAGGAGCCACAGAAATTTTGAGAAAGAATAAGGGAGAGATCACAATACAATACCTGATATCAAACTATGTTACAAGGCCACCATAATCAAAATAGTCTGGTACTGGCACAAGAATAGACACATGGATCAATGGAACAAAATAAAGAACACAGGGAATAAACCCAAGTCTCTATGGCCAATTAATACCTGATAAAAGGGGCAGAAGCATAAACTGGAATAAAAATAGCCTCCAACAAATAGTGTTGGGAAAGCTGGACAGCTACATGCAAAAAAAAGTGAAACTTGATCACTAAATCACACCACATACAAAAATAAATTCAAGGTAGATAAAAAGCTTAAATCTAAGTTGTGACACCATGAAAGTCCTTCAAAGACACAGGCAGGAAAATCTCAAATATTCCACACAGCAATATTTTCACTGATATATCCCCTAGAACAAGAGACATAAAGGAAAGAATAAACAAATGGGACCACAACAAAATAAAAAGCTTCTGCACAGCTAAAGAAAACATCAGCAAAATGAAAAAGGCACCAACTGTATGGGAAAACATATTTTCAAATAATACCTCAGACAAGGGCTTGATCTCCAAAATATATAAAGAACTCACACAGCTCCACTACAAAAAGACAAAAAACCCAATTTAAAAATGGGGAAAACACTTGAACAGACACTTCTCCCAGGAGGACATATAGAGGGCCCAGAAACATATGAAAGGATGTGCAGCATCACTAGTCATAGAGATGCAAATTAAAACCACAATGAGATACCACTTCACACTGGTGAGAATAGCCACCATAAACAAATCAAGAAACAAGTGCTGGTGGGGTTGCAGAGAAAAGGGAGCCCTGTTGGTGGGAATGCAGACTGGTATAGCCACTGTGGAAAACAATATGAAATTTCCTCAGAAAACTAAAAACGAAACTGCCTTTGACCCTAGATTCCACTGCTGGCATTATACCGTAAGAATCCTAAAACAACAATTCAGAAGAACCTAGCGCCCCAATGTTCACAGCATTACAATTTACAACAGCCAAGTGCTGGAAGCAATCTAAGTGCACATCAGTAAATGAGTGGGTCAAAAAAATGTGGTACATTTACATAATGGAATACTATGCAGCAGAAAGGAACTCCTACCCTTTGTGACAACATGGATGGAAACGGAAAGCATTATGCTAAATGATCTGAGCCAGATGGTGAAAGACAAATACCATATGATCTCACCTATAAATGGAACCTAATCAGTAAAACAAAGAAGCAAGCAATATATGACCAGAGACATTGAAATTAAGAACAAACTGACAGTAACCAAAGAGGAGATAGGAGGGAATAATGGGGGAAAAAACAGGGGAAGGGTTTTCAGAACATGTATAAAGGACAGCTGGACAAAGCTAAAGGGGTATAGGATCGAGGGTGGGAGGTGGGAATAGGTGGGGTTGGGGGAAGTGGTGGGGGGAAAAATAGAGACAACTGTACTTGAACAACAGTAAAAAATAATGCGCTAGGTTAAAACCGAGACTTTAGTTTTACTATTGGCTCTGGCATTAACTTGTTAAATTTTTAATAACTCTATGCCAGGATTTTCTTATATGTGAGACAGTGGATATATTTAACCTCTATCCCCTGAATTGTTTTGTGAGCATAAAAATGAATAAATACTACCTGAACGTATTTCATGAGTTTAACTAAATTAAGAGCCCTATAAAAATATTTTAATATTTAATAAAATATTTTAATTGTTCTCAATTCAGTTTTTCTCTTTTTAAAAATATTTTATTTATTTCTTTTTAGAAAGAGGGGAAGGGAGGGAGAAAGAGAGAGAAACATCAACGTGTGGTTGCCTCCCACATGGCCCCCACTGGGGACCTGGCCCACAACCCAGGCATGTGCCCTTACTGGGAATTGAACTGGTGACCCTTTGGTTCGCAGCCTGTGCTGAATCCACTGAGCTACACCAGCCAGGGCTAGTTTTGCTTTAATTCATCAATGCAAGTAAATTGTTTCTAATATTTTACTTACTTGCTCACACATAATTTGTGTCAAGAGTAGAACATGTAGGGAAAGGGGGAATTGGTGAAAGGTCAAAACTTCCAGTTATAATAAAAGAGGTAATAGGGATGTAATTGATGACTACTATTAATACTCCCGTTAGATACACAGGTAAGTTGTTGAGATAACTAAACCTACAGTGGTAATCATTTCACAAAATATGTAAATCAAAACTTCACGCTGTATGCACATCTTACAGTGGAATACATCAATTACTTTGCAATAGAGCTGGGAGAAAAGCACTATAAAGAGTAAAATACCACAAAGAACTTGCCAAAGACCGATTATCTTAATTAAGCTACCTAGAAGAAAGAACACTTATTTTGAGGTTAGAGAAATGTAGAAAGAGTGAAAATAACTGGCTTACCTACCTTTTCAAGTCATCAAATACATCTGGTAACAAGAAGTTCAGCAATGACCAAAGTTCTGATAAATTGTTTTGCAAGGGAGTCCCAGTCAAAAGAAGTTTGTTGTCGGCATTGAATCGTTTTAACTCCCTGATTAGACGACATTTCATGTTCTTAATCCTGTGTCCTTCATCTACTATTAAGTATTTCCAAAAGCAATGCTGGAAAAGGAATTTACGGGAAAAACTTTTAAATGATACCTCACAATTTTTCCCAAAAACAAATTTAAAAATAAAACTTCATTTGTGATGAATATTCAATTTTATCAAATGGCATTTCTGTATCTACTGAGATGATCATGTTTTCCTCTCATCTAATAAAAGGATAATTTCCTAAACTAATGCATACTTGGTATTCCTATAATAGACCTCATTTGGCCATGAACTAAAAATTAAAATCCACCTGCTATTATATACTTAACATTTCTCCATTCACATTCTTTAGTCAAAGCAGTCTGTAGCTTTCCATTCTAATGCACTGTTAAAGGTACTTAACGTTATACTAGATAACTGAAAAAGAATTGAAAGCTTCGATTAGTTTCGTACGCTAAGAAACAGCATTAGAATTTTTTCAGGCCTATACCTGAGATTGACACTCTTATCCATATGAAAATGTTTCGCTACAGATCCATGTCTAAAATAAGTTGTTTTCAAATAACCTATTCTTATTTCATTAAAATTAAATAGATAAGTCAGTCCTGATAATTTACACCACACATCACAGACATAACTGCAGTGTATTCACTGATTAGGTCTAGACCTGGAAGATTCTAACACATTTAAAATGACACTACAATCCTGGATGGTGTGGCTCAGTTGGCTGGAGTACTGTACCATAAACCAAAAGGTTATGAGTTCAATTCCCAGTCAGGGCACATGACTACATTGTGGGTTCAGTCCTCTACTTGTGGTATACAGCAGAGGCAACTGAGCAATGTTTCTCTCCCTTTCCCCCACCCTTCCCCTCTCTGAAATTCAGTAAGTATGCCCTCGGGTGAGGATTTAAAAAAATGACATATGGCTATTGAGTAAAGTGTCATAGGCTTTAATTTTTTTTTTAGAAACAACCTTCAGCTCAATCTTTCTGTTAAAATAAACCCTGACTGGTGTGGCTCAGTGAACTGGGCAACATCCAGCAAACCTAAAGGTCGCAGTTTCAGTTCCTGGTTAGGGCATACGCCTAGGATGCAGGTCAGGTCCCTGGTTGGGGGCTTGCAAGCAGCAATAGATCAATATTTCTCTCACTCTTCTTCCCTCCCTTCCCCTCTCTCTAAAAAATAAATTACAATCTGGGGGGGAAAAAACCCCTTCAGTTTCTAAAGGAATGTACATATTACAATTACTTCCATCAGAACAAAAATTACATGCTACTAGATATCAGAAAGTGTTATAAAAATGTGATTTGTGGATTACAAAGAATCCAATAAAGACCAATCATACCTGTAATGCGTTTCGGTCTCTCATGGCGATTTCAAATGAAGTGATTACCACAGGATGAATCTGCAGTGTTCCCTTCCGTTTGTGAATATTATTTACCAATCTTCGACGTTCCTGCTGGGTCCCATGATATAACATAGTAGGAATCTAAAAGATTGTTATATTGGTTGATATCAAAAATTTAGAACTGAATAAGAATATAAAAATTTGGAAAACATAATCATTTCAGAGAGAAATAACAATCTTAGCTATATTTCTATGTAACAAAATAAGTCAATTCTAACAAATTACTGGACTACTATGAGAGAATTAAAAAGCCATAAAAAATCAAGGGTACGTCAAGGTTGGTGGCAAAGCTACTTCTGAGATATACTTCTCATAAGGCAAGAATGTGGCCATAACAATAGACACATATCATAATAAGAATAAACAGAATTAAATACTAAGTTCTACCCAGGTGAAGCAAATTATCCAATACACTAAAAATCATCCAGAGATATTTTTGGCAACATGTCTAAGATATTCTTTTTTATACACTTAATGTAGGTAATGATGAGATTGAAAGGTAAGTCAAAAAGATGTAGTATTTATACAGAAATTAATATAATTATAGTAAGAGACTTATAATTCAAACAGAATAAACATTTGAAACAATATATTCTTAACAAAAGGACACATGTCTTACTTCTGGTGTAAATCTTTGGAATTCAGCCATCCAATTAGGAAGTGTAGACAATGGGCCACAGACAAGAAATGGTCCAGGTACTCCTCTCTGAATCATCAATGCAATTGTAGCAATGCACTGAACTGTCTTTCCCAGTCCCATTTCATCTGCTAAAATGCCATTAATTCCATTTTCCCAAAGCATCTGGACAAAATAATATACACTGTATTTAAATTCTGATACAAAAAGCTATTAGCAATTGTTCATTTTTTTTTACCCAAAGATAATTATGAGACTGACCTAGTCCCAGTATAAATTGTAACTGCACTTTGTGGGAAGGAGGTTATCAAAGCCATTAAAGTGTTGATAGCCTTGAATAAGATAATTTTCACTTTAAAAATTTACTCTGGGTAAATAAATCAGAAAATACTTATTCACACACAAATATTTTACATATAATAGTGAAATATGGAACAACTTGAGTTGTGTTACTCCATTAATAGGTTACTAGATAGAAATGAACTGGTATCTTGTATGAACATTGAGAATTCATTACCCTAAGCCATTCCATGCCTTCTACTTGGTACCAACGCATCACACCTCCTGTAAAGAGTTTTGGTTGCTGAAAGGGTACTGGCTGTCCATCGTATTTCCGAACTGGGTCAACGAAGAACTTAGTATTCTGCCTAACTGTTTGTGACAACCTATCTTTAATTTTACTATTTGAATCTTTGTTTTTCTGAAGATCTTCTACACAGAGATTAGAAGAGCTTTCATCCTATAAAAAAAAAGTTTTAATTAGTAGTTTGATACATACCGCTGATACCCTATCAAAACAAAAAACAAAAAACTGCTCATCAAAATTTATCCAGTGCTGTAAGCACTGGGTATGTAGAAAATAAAACCTTATGTTGAATAAAACCTAGAGACATGCAGCACCTCCATTCCCCAAAAATGCATATCCACTTTTGAAATAACTTATACAATTGTACTTCCTTTCCAAACCTCTAAGTGCCACCCATGAATTTACTGAACTATATTCTTAATAATTTCCTTCACCCGCAGCAAATATAATTGAAGATGTCTGTAAAAGAAGGAAAATAAACTTTTCTTTCAAGGAACACAGAATCATTACTTCCAAGTAATAACTTTCATCACAGGGAAAGGGGCAAAGTGAGTCAAGTTTTAATGTTGACTATATCACACTCAAGAATATAAATTTATCTGTGACACTCAGCACCAACTTATGACCAATCATAGACTTTATTGGTTGGCAACCTTCACAACTCCATTTTAAGAGTGTGAAAACAGAAAGTGAATTAATAGAAAAAGTCTTATAAACACTAAGACATAAATGATGCCACAAATGGATATTGAACTGAATTGAAAAGGCAAATGAGTATTTTTCTTAAAGACTAAGAAATAGGGTAACTGGTGAGAAAAAAGTATATTGATAATAAAAAGAAAAGAGGGTAATGATCAGGGGAAGCAAATATAACTCCCAAATTTAGTATCTATTTTAAGTGTCTTACCTCAGTCTCCTTTTTATTTTTTTTAGCCACAGACAAAATTTCCTAAAAAATTGAGAAAACAAACAAAATAACAATGTATGTGGTTCATTCATGTATTTAACAGACATTTACTGCTCTGGTTGTATGGCAGCAAATGGAAATAAGGATTGCAAAATAATTAAAATACAACTAAAATGATTAAGATCTCAATTAGTTAAGCCTGTAGTGTTCTTATAAAATTCTTAGTTAGCAATGCATGAAAATTGGGATAATTACTCCTGAATTTTCCATTTTTAATATCTGAATAGATAGGTTCAGATTCAGACACAGTGAAGTTTTCCAGTATAGAGATTGGCAAACTACAGCCTGTGGACCAACTCGAGCTGGCAAACTGTTGGGAACCTCCCTGCTTGGTTTCATCAGCAGCTGTAATCCCATGTGGCTAAGGCTGAGTAAAGAGACCTTGGGACCATAAGCCACTAAGGAGACAAAGCTTGTATCTTCCTGGCAGGGGTGTTGCCTCTGCCCTTTTACTTTACATTGCTTGGCCCTGGGCAGATGACTGGTTAGCCAATGACAGGTAAGATTCCTCAAGGGAGGGATGACCTAAGACAGGCATGGTCTCAAATGGGGTCCTCTGGGAAGAATTTGGGGGAGGGGGGACTATAGAAAAAAGGAATGATGGACCCTCGCCCCTCAGCTGACATAACCTGAATCATCCCTCTGTCTGCAAGAAGTCTCCTAATCTCTTGGCCACCTTATTTGCCCTGCCTGATCTAAGCCTGAAACAATGTGGTACAGACCTGGGCTGGAACAGGAGGTTCCCCAGGGCAATCAAGACTAAGAAAGAATGCATAAAATCCTGTGAAACCTGCTTTGCTAATACCCTAAATTTTCTGATAAGGTCCAAACATGAAGTTTGTTTCCCAAAGTTTTATGGCCCTTCAACCAACTGACCCTGACTCAGAATAAGCCCTCAAAGTTCTTTGAATGTTATCTATTGTTTGATCATTACTGTCTGACAATGATGAATGAAGACCTTCCTTGATGTAATGCTCCCAGAAAAGCAGTAAAAGCCTGTCCAGGCAAAGGTTGGGGCACTCTCTCAGAGAGTAGCCTTGCCATCCCTTTTTCTACACATGACTTCTGTAGTCCATGTGAATTTGTTTGCCTCATCCACAACATATGGACCCTGCTAGATGGAGTCTGCACCAGCAACCTGTTTTTATAAATAATATAAAAATTTTGTTTTAATTAAAACAAAACCAGGCTCATTTGTTTACAGTATATACATGCCTACTTATGGGCTTCAAAGCCAAATTCAAGGTTGAATTGTTTCCTACAAAACTACTTAGAGCCAAAAACATTTACTAATCTGGTCCATCACAGGAAAAAGTCCTCCAAACTCTGCTCTGGAATCAGGTTGTGGCCACTCCTGTTACTTAAGAATTGACTCTCAAAAGTATTATAATCCCAACTCTAGCCCACTTTAGGCCTCTGTGGATAAAAATCTATTTTGGATTCCTAAGCAAGAGGCAAAGACAAACTGAAAATACAGAATAAAAGTATTCTGATTTTTGAAGTTCCTACTAGATGCTAAGGGCATAGAGACAAGCGAAACCTGAGTGTTACCTGGTAACTTCTGCAGTCTTTACCTTTCTTTACTGATAGATTTGATCAAGTTGGGACAAAGTTTGCCCATAGCAGATATGCCACAAACATTTGATGAATTAAATTAACAACTGTGTGATTGGTTATAACGCCAATACATCTCATTAATAGTTTTTCAAATTCAGGCTGAATGTGTTCCATAATCAACCGAGTGGGTCCTGACCATTATTTTTAAATGGAGAGGGGGTGGGCAGGGATTTCCTTAAAGATAGTAATTATGTAAAATTTAAAATTTTAGACACTATGAAGATCTAAAAAATTTGAATTTCTGAATTTCAGGTAAAGGAAAAATTTGCTAGGTAATAAATAAAGCTAGAATTTGAAAATGTAACAATGTTAAATACATTAAAATATGTTTAAGGAACATTTAAAATTTACCATAATTGAAGATTCTATTTAATTTCTATTATGATATAACAAGTGAGAAGGTTAAAAATAGTCTGGTTTTAGAAATGAGTATGTGACTTCAGGTCCCTACAGGTCTTCAATAAGGGACAAGAATCAAGTTCTTAAGGTTTTGAGGTTTCAAGAAATTATAATAATCTCTGATTAGACTGAGCTCATGCTCCTTTAACAAACAGGAAGATGATTACCATAACAGGCTCAACAGTCAAGTATATAACCACATGCATACAGCTTCAATGTAGTTTAAAACCCCCAAAGTTTTTACTTGACATGAACTTAATGTGCCCTTCCCCCTTTAGTTTTACCTCTTTTGACATGACCTCTGAAATATTGTACGATTCATCTTCTCTTCCTCTTTTCTTTCTCATAACTATAAAAAAATTATTTTATTTTTTTATTTGCAACTAATGTAAAAATATAAACACATTCTTCAAAACTAGAACAAGTAAATTTACCTGGATTCTCCTCACTTCCATCAATGGAACTTTTACCCTACAAAACAAGGATTTAGAATATTATTTTCCTAAGGACTGCTATGGTATTATGCATTACAATGAACTAATTAAGTATGTAACCTCTCCTTGTTACTTCCCCTACTATTCTTATTTATAACCATACCCCTCTACTTTTCCCCAAAGGTTCTTCTTTACTTAATTTTTTTTATTTTACAAGAGAAATTTCAAAATTAAGCATATACATCTATTGTATGCGTATGCTGAAGGTATTCAACCAGTATGGTATGTAAAGAATACTAATTTTCAATAAAATTAAAAGTTAAAGACAACTGAACATAGAAGAATACTGATGGAAAAAAAACATTAGTGAGAAGATAAAAGAGAGGAAGAGATGTTTAAAGGCAATTTGTAACTGAGTTGAAAATGAAGATTAAGAATAGATAACATAGCCCTGGCTGGTGTAGCTCAGTGGATTGAATGCCAGCCTGTGAACCAAAGGGTCGCAGGTTCAATTCCCAGTCAGGGCACACACCTGGGTTGCAGGCCAGGTCCCCAGTTGGGGGCATGCAAGAGGCCACACACTGCCCTGGCTGGTGTAGCTCAGTGGATTGAGTGCGGGCCTGCAAACCAAAGGATCGCGGTTTGATTCCCAGTCAGGACACATGCCTGAGTAGCAAGTCAGTTCCCAGCAGGGGACGCACAAGAGCCAACCACACATTGATATTTCTCTCCCTTTCTCCTTCCTAAAGATAAATAAATAAAATCTTAAAAAAAAAAAGGCCACACAGTAATGTTTCTCCCCCCCCACTCCATTCTGCTCTAAAAATAAAATCTAAAAAAAAAAAAAAAAAGACAACATGTAAGTAATGATATAAAATGTTAGAAGACTAAAAATGAAAATACCAAAAGGGACTGGTGAGATGGAGTAGGCAGAATTTAATGGGTTTGCACCTTTAGAACAAAGGAGTGAAAAAACCTAAAATCTTGGTATAAAAACCTAGGTAGATCAAAGTGAAGGATGGTTTAAATCAACAGTCTGGAGTAAGAAGTAAATGGACAATCAAGCCAGTAAAATTATCTTCTAAGTAACTATGTGTTCTTTAAAAAGCCAAAGTCCTAGCGATCAGGAACTGAGTCAAATTATATCAGTTTTTAAACACTATTTTTTGCAATATTATCAACTATGTACATTAACATCACCATTAACCACACTAAGAATCAAAAAACTGTAAAGATACCCTACCTATTTTGTCTATTGGCATTTTGCTATTTCCTAATAAAAGCAGTTAAGTACAGATGCTAAGTGTTGAGTCTGAAAATAATACTAGCATTATTATTTGTTACGTATGTGACCTTCAGCAAATCACAATCAATTCTCATTAACAAGTTATATTGTATAAAGTCACTGAAAATAATCAATCGGTAAACACGAAACCACTGCTTCTAGGAAAAATAAAAATCTAGGTTCCTGCCAAGCTCTGGTCACATTTTTGTCAACTGATGTCATACATAAATTAACCCTATTGCTCTCGCCAGTATAGCTCAGTTGGTTGGGGGTAGTCCCACACACCAAAAAAGTTGGGAGTTTGATTTCCAGTCAGGGCACACATCTAGCCTAAGGGAGGCAACCAATCAATGTTTTTTACTCTCTCTAAAATCAACAAACATATTTTTAAAAATTAGAAAAGGAAACAAAGAAATACTTGACCCTGTTTTATGTGTTGCTATTTTATCTTAACATTTATGTTGATTAACAATGTACTCAGGGCCAACAGCACTGTAACTCCTGAAGGAAGCTTCTCTAACACACATTTTCTCCATTAGACACAATACAACCTTCTTGCATTACAAACACCAGAAAACACTTCAGCACAATATGGCTAAGGGCCATTTTAAACAACAAAATCAACAAAATTAAATAATTATTTACAGTGTGAGAGCTTTATTTAAGCATTCCCACCAACCTCAGCTGAGAATGTGCGTGTTTAGGAGACTCAAATTTTGAAAGTTCTGCACAAGCACATGCCTGCAAATGTCCACAAAAACACAAATATTAATTTGGGGGTTACAAATAAATTTTAGATGGGATGTTAATTTTCAAATACAGAATCTGCAAAAGATGGACTATACTTTATCCTCTTGTATCTGCAAAGGAAGATAAACTATTCTTTTATCCTCTTGTATCAGCTTCTTTAAATATAAAATGGGGACAATGACCTGTACCTGTACCCAAAAGCTATTTTAAGAATTAAGGGCCCTGGCTGGTGTGGCTCAGTGGATTGAGTGTGGGCCTGCGAACCACATAATCACGGTTGATTCCCAGTCAGGGCACATGCCTAGGTTGCAGGCCAGTTCCCAGCAAGGGACTCATGAGAGGCAACCATGCACTGATATTTCTCTCCTTCCCTTCCTCTCTAAAGATAAATAAATAAAATCTTTAAAAAAAAGATTCTTTCTATAAAAAAAAAAAGAATTAAGGAAAAACCTGTGAGGCTTAGAGTAATACCTGACACATAGTAAGTACTCAATAAATGTTGGCTTTGTTATTCCTCATCTCATTAGCACAATTGTTCTTTATATACTTCCCATCATTATGGTATTAAACAACCTCATGTTAAAACATACTCTTCATGCCCCAACTGGTGTGGCTCAGTGGACTGAGTGCCAGCCTGTGAATCAAAGGGTGGCTGGTTTGACTCCCAGTCAGGGCACATGCCTGGGTTGCCAGCCAGGTCCCCAGTAGGGGGCACGCAAGAGGCAATCGCACATTGATTTTCTCTCCCTTTCTTTTGCTCTAAAACTATGTAAATAAGATCCCTTTTAAAAAAACCACAACAAATTTTTCAGAAAGATCACATCTAAAATTTAGGCTATCCCTAAATGAGTGCTCTAGCATCTGAAATATTAGTAGATGACTATCTGCTCCAATTTTGCTCCGCTGTTCTAGCTATGCACAAGCTACAAATCTAGATTACTGTTATCACTACAAGTTGATGTGATGAGGCTGAAGGCATGAAGAAGAAAAAGTAATCATTACAGGGTCCAAAAGTACTGGCCATTTATAAAATGCCTTACAGTATAAAATATTTGCAGATTTTTCCCAGATAAGAAAGTCAAATATTAAGATGTTATTTATTTCCTTTTGGGGAAGAGAGGAAGAGAGGGAGAAAAAGAGAGAGAGAAACATCATAGGTCACCTCTCACCTCCCTAAACCTGGGCCCTGGCCAGCAACCCAGGAATAGTTCCCTGACCAGGGATTGAACCTGCGACCTTTCAGTTCCCAGGCCAGAGCTCAATCCACTGAGCTACACCAGCCAGGGCAAGAAAGTAAAATCTTATATATATGAAATACAGTCCACAGAATAAAATGAAGGCATACTTTTTAGAGTCTTTCTTTCCCATCTAAAATACTGAGAAAGTTTTACATGTTCCTATGCAATTTGTAACAAGGACAGATTATCAGATAAAGGTTAAAATATATGATCGATAAGGTTAAAAGAACACAAAAGAGAAGTAATGTATCAATTCAATGTTTGTATGTAAAGATATGGAAAACAGTGTGGTGACTGCCCAGGTGGTGGGGGCTAGGTAGAAATAAGAGGGTAAAGGGGGGATAAATAGTGATAAAAGGAAACCTAACTTTGGTGAACACACAACACAATGTAGGAGTGATGTACTGTAGGATTATACACCTGAAACCTATGTAATGTTATTAACCAATGTCACTCCAATAAATTCAATACAATTAAAAACAAAAACACAAAAAAATTTCTTCAATATTTAAGGTAACACATATAATGTATTTTATAGTCTACTATACATTACCATAGCAAGTTTGGAAGATTCCTTTTTTCTCTCTAATTTCTCTTTCTTCTTCTGTTCCTGTAAAATAAATTTCCTTAGTGTCACAAACAGAAATGCAAAATATAAAACACATCTCAAATAACTTATATTCATGCAGTGGAATGTTTCTCAGCAATAAAAAGAATGACCTACTGAGTAAACAACATAAGTGAATCTTAAAAATATGCTGAACTAAAAGAAGCAAGACAAAAAGAGTGTTCTTTTCCATGTGGCCCCATTTATACGATATTCTAGAAAAAGGAATATTAACCTATAGTGACAAAACAGAATCAACAGTTGCCCACAGCCAGGCCTAAGGATTACTGAACAAGATTAACTTTTGGGAATGATGGAAATGTTCTTTATCCTAATTGTGCTGATGGTCACAGAAGTCTACACACTGGTAAAAAATTATTAAACTATAAACTTAAAATGTTTTATTATATGTGATTTCTACCTCAATAAAGCTAGTTTTAAAAATGTAAGCTATTAGCTATAATCAATCAGGTATACATACCTCTAACTGTTGCTGTTCCATTTTAGTCAATAAAAATTTAGAGTAGATATTGCTTTTCTCAAGCAAATGTTGAAGTCTACGGTACCGAATATCCACGGACTCCCTATCCCAACACAAGCGAGCCTATCCAAAGAGAAAACTTACATAATTATTCAAGTTTTCTGACATACATTGATTTTTTACATAAAGTGTAACAAAACTGACTAAATAAATGTTCTTTAGGTTTAATATATTTCATGTAGTTAATTGAAAAATATTTTAATAATATTAATTTATTTACTAAAAATACTTTTTTTTCCAAACCAAAAACTAGAATAACTGGAAAAAAATGATTCTTGGGTTCAAGAGGCAATCTGGTAACATGTAGCTTGCATACGGAAATACTGAAATTTCAGAGACTGGGCAGATGGTTACTGGCATCTACTAAGTTAAGGATCCCTTTTAAAAATATTTGAAATTAAAGTTAGAAAGCAAATATTTCATTCAAGTTGGAGTTAAGGTTTTAAACCAAAGAAAAAGTATTATTTGAAAGAACATTAGACTTTTACACACCCTTTATTGATTTCTAAACATCTACAATAGTGGCTTTACACTGACAAAAGTTTAGTGTTTTAAAAGAATAGCACAGGGCACATGACAGAAAACAAAAAAAGCAACAAATAGCATAGTTCAGTGGCTCACAACCCTTTCTGTATAGGGTCAAAGTGTAAATATTTAAATATTTGAGCTTTATATGGATCATTCTGCAGATACTCAATTCTGCCTTTTTGAAGAGTAGTAATAAACAGTGTGTAAACAAATGAACACATCTGTGTTCCAATACTCCTATTTAATCAACAAGTACCACTCAAACCCAGCTCATAATTTGCCAGCCCAGTATAATGTACACTTAAAGTAAAACATAAAGCAGGCTCAAGTGAATCAACTGAGAGCTGTCTTCATTTACTAAAGCCAAATATATGCAAACCCTACCATCAATTCCACCCAAGACACACTGTGTGTGAGAGACACCAACCAGAGATAGAATAATCTAATTAACTTCAATTTAGTGGTTAAAGCTTGACCTTATAAATTAGGTACCATTGTATATTGGTTTATCTAGAAATATAACTATATCTATATCTAAGGAAGCTTTTCCTTAGATATATAATATATATTGCTGTAATTTTTCTTTCAAAATAAGTTTCTTTTCAATTGTTAAAGCAATCTCAATGAGACACCTAATAAAAACTACTAAAGTAATACAAGTACATTATAGAAAAAATATTTTAAAATCTCTCATAATCTTACCCATGAAGTTAATCTCTGTGAACATCTTATCAAACCCTATTTTAAGTTCTTTTAGGACAGCCTTTCTTTTACAATTACTAATATACTACATTGTAATTACTATAAGGTAGTCAATGAATGAGGTGGATATTACAAACAGGGAAATTACTTACAACTTTATAAAAATGAATTCTTAAACTTTTGAAATTTGTTTAAAATTTTATTTTGGGCTAATTTACATGTATTTGCTATCTTAAAAACTATTCAAAATTATACCTTTGTATATTATATACATTAGTAGAGAATTTTATACATTAGTATACATTTTTAAATTAAAGCTTGAAGATGGCATTATGAACAATTTATAATTAATGTAGTTAGAATACTATGTCAACGGTTAACCTTTAAACCCAGTCTTTAGTATTTCAAAATAGCTTTGTAGTAAATCTTATCTACTATTACTCTTTCTTGACTTTGTTTTATAATAGTAAGGTACATTTTCCACAAGCACTGAATGCCTTGGCATTATATCGATGACCAGAATGAAAGTATATGCCAACAAGACCAAGCACATAAATTCCCCACTGTCTAACCCATTTTCTCTGCCAACACCAACCCTAAATTCTGAGGGTGGGAGAACTATATTTCAGTTTATACCATACAAACTATATCCTTTTACTTCTCCTAATTCTTATCTGCCCCCTCACTTCAGACAGCATTAATGCTACTCTTCAGTATTCTAGACTAACAATGACTTCTTTCTAAAGAAAATGCAGGTGAAAAGCCCCCAAAAGTAAGAGTAGTACGTGAATGTCAAAGTCATTGTCCAGACTCTTCATAATCCTTTAAGTCTCCAAAAGCCAAGTAAAAGCTTCTCATTAAGGCTTAAACTGTCTCTTCCTCTCTTAAGTACTTCTAAATAATATGCCCATAAATACTGTATTCTCTGAAAAGGTATCTTTACTTTTGACAGTATTTTGACCTCCAAAGACTTGTAGGTAGAGACTCAGAATTTTTTCCATAATGACCTAGGAAATAATTTATAAATGTCAAGTGCAAAAATTAATTTAAAAAAAATTTTTAATTAAATTCTTTCAGTACTTGCATAAAAAGACAATCTAATAACCACAAACCACCAAACAAGGCTTTTAGCAAATTATGGCCCTGTGTTGGATTCAGATGGACAGTATGCTTTATTCATGGGACTAAAAGTAGACTGAAAATTGCTATTTTAATTGTACAACTGCTTAAACAGAAAAACAAAACAAGCTAGCTGTACTATACCTATACCTCAACAATAACAATTACAAAAAATTTTAGGACTAACTGGAAAATGTTCAAAAACTTTAAAATTTCACTGAAAATATAAGTCATTTTCCCCCTAGTTTAAATTTTGATCTCAAATTGCATTTTGATCCCAATAACTTAAATACTATAGATATTGACAGATCTTTTTCCAAGTGAAAATATTTCTTCCCTTATACTAACACATTGTAGGAATGTATTCTTATTGTACTTCACTTTTTTCAAATGGTATTTCCTTACCCAACAACATTCATGGGTTACAAAGCTGAATGAACACTGCACAAAAATGAAGGTTTTTATCATTCTTACAAACTCTGAAGTTGATATTATTCCAGACACTTGCCCCAGGATTCCTCCTTTAAAACTCACCTGGCTTAAGTGCAATTTATTTCTTGTAATCTTCTATATGTTATGTAATAAATTATAAAATATCTTTTTACCATATGTAGAAATTCAATAAACACTTATGACTAAGTGCAGCGCCTACAAAAACAAAACAGTTAAGTGGTGTGCCCTGAAGAAACAAAGTGAGAAAGTCAAAAAAGTAATGCTAATACTGTGAATGAAGTACTATGGAAATTCAGAGAACGAGGTGATTCAAGGTCAACCTCGCCATTCTATTAAAATCTGTTAACACCTTGGTCGGGTGGCTCAAATGGTTGGAGCATCATCCCTGAAAACCAAAAGGTGGTTCCGTCCTCAGTGGGGACACATGCAGGAGGCAACTGATCAACATTTTTCTGACATAGATGTCTCTCAAATTGGTGACTATGTGCTCCGGTGAGGAGTTTAAAAAATACAATTTGTTACCATTTATGGTCAACTACGATGATCAGTAATAGAAGAATCCATATTACTGGCATGAAAGCATAGCAGAGTGGTTAAAAAGTGTGATGCATTTTGGTTCTGCCACTTACTAGCTGTGGCAACCTAGGCTACCTGTAAGTGCTGCAGTTTCCTCATCTGTAAAATGAGGTAAAAACAGAACCTACTTCACAGAATATTTAGTGAAAATAATAGTTTATATTAGTAATTTAAGTAGTATGGTTAACAGTAACCTTGCTTAACAACACCACCTATTTTATAGAATAGCTGAGGATTCATTGCGTAGATATATGTATAGCATTCAGAACAGTGCCTTGCAACAAATGTACATGCGGTGTTAACAATATGAAAAATCACTGCTGCTGACATAAAACTACAGGGAACCATCTGATTCATTACTTATCTTTGGAGTGCATTACTTCACAATATAAACAGTTATGTAATTCCAGGGAATTAATTCAACTCGAATGTGTATTTCCTTAGAGGGGTGTAGGGTTAAGGACAGGAACTCTGGAGAGAGGCACTGTTCTGATCTGAGTTTATCAGTGTGTGGCCCGGCCCTCAAGCACCTAAGTTTTGTCTTATGTAAACAGAGATATCAAAAGTATCTATAACATCCTAGGCCCTGGCTGGTGTAGCTCAGTGGATTGAGCTCGGGCCTGGGAACCAAGCAACCAAGGTTCGATTCCCAGTCAGGGCACATGCCTGGGTTGCAGGCTAGTTCCCAGCAGGGGACACATGAGAGGCAACCATACATTGATATTTCTCTCCCTCTCTCCTTCCCTCCCCTCTAAAGATAAATAAAATATTTTTTAAAGTATCTATATCATCCTAATATTAGGAGGTCTAAGTGAGTTATTACAAGACAATCACTCACTAGGCAGTAGGTAAGAGGTGGTGGCTAGATGGCAATTTTTTCTTGCATATGCAGAAATTAGGCAGGAGGGTGGGCCTTTACTATTGAAGTGAAATGTATTTCAGAATTTTTTCAAAAGGTTAAAAACTTCTTTCAGTAACCTACAGAATACATACTGCGCGTATGAAAACCACAAGTAAAGCAACTTACGGAAACAAGCACACCACCGTTTAACCTTAAGAATCTCCTCTAGGAGCAGTCCAAGAAAACAAAAAAGCATGTCGATCACTTAGGTGGCAAACTGCGCCGAAACAACTATCAACTTTGGAAGAATTATAATGGCTTGAAATGCTCACTTCAGAGACGTGAGGCCCCGATACAGGCCAGAATTCCCTCTCACAGGAGCACCCTGCAAAGTACGTGCAAAAGTCTCTCAGAGAGAGCATCTGTAAACATACGCAAGATGAGTAAGCAACAAAGTCCGTTTTAAAGTTTCCGGGGGAAACCGAGGAACACACACCGCACCCCCGAGGAAGAAGCCTCAGGTTACCACCGGCTTCAAGGTCCACAAACTTCATTCCTGAAGTTACCTTTTCTAGCATCTTCCGCTCCCTCTCAAGCCCAGCAGCCTCCAGCTGTTCCTCCTCCTCCAGCATGGCTGGGGTGATCACGGCCGGCTCCGGCTCCTCCACCCTCTCCGGAGCCCGGGGCCCTGGGGAGGAAGAAGGCTTCCGAGTTGCAGTTTTTAAAAATTTACCAATGACTCAAGTCCCACATAAAATCCTTTCCCTCCTTCCCAGATAAATTCCAGACAACGTCTAGCACCCACGGAGAGACGCCTGCATCACCTCGCTAGAGATACCCCAGGTTTTCACAAGGTCAACAAGTCGCCTGGACCCCGGTTTACAAATCGGGGCGCTCGGGAAAATGCAGCTCTCCCCGTGTAAAAATCTCCTACATCGTGCACCCCCAACTCACTCGTAACAGGTTCGTACTCCTTTTGCTGCTCATTCTATGCCCGGGGTAAGCCTTTCCCTCACAGTTTCAGCTGCGGCTTCCATGCTGCGGCCCCCTCTGCCCAGGACGCCACAGCCCGTACCCAGAGAAAGATTCTCCTCACTCACCGTCGCTGCTTTTGGGCTGTTGGGCGGGCATGGCTGGACACACACTCTGGCGCAAGGTCTCCTCCTCAGCAAGTGCAACGCTCGCGCGCCACAGCCTCTCTGCTGCTGCCGGGCGGAATCTTCTCCGAGAGTCCCAGCGAAAGGAAAAAAGCGCGCTTCACTTTCGCGGGGGAAAAACAACGTAATCTCGCGATACTTCGTGCTCCCCGCCCCCAACCCCGCCCCAGCCTCCGGCGGTGCGAGATTTGGTTCAGAAAACCCACCTGGGTGATGGTTAGCATTTATTTAGACTTCCGTCTTCGGGAAACTACTTTGTGCTGCATAAATCAGCATTTAATTAGCTGTGGTACTGGGCGAGTTTGCCTACTGTGGAGAGCCCAGTTTCCTCACATGCTGGTTGATACTTTAATAGCTCTCTTAACAGTTTTGCAAAGCACCTCCGCACACTGGCTGGTGTAGCTAAATTCCCGGAACTGATGATCTTTTGGGGTAGTAAATACGTACGAGTACCCACGTGAGGATATCAGGAACAAATACTGCGAAGCTCCCCCGCCATTTGCAGTTAAAATTATGAGTGAAAGTTCCCCAAAAGGACCCCAAAAAATTTTCTGTGGGTAGGATAGTAGAGGAAAATAGTAAGTCAAGAATAAGGTAGAGTTCAAGAAAGTTGTTTCAGGGTAAGGGAGAACTGAATGCAGTGATAGACCAAGCGTTGAGGCCGATAGAAAAGTAAAATTTATGAATTCAATATACCAATAATAAGAGTGGGCGCAGGGTTTTTCTTGTCTGTGGTGGCTTCAGCCTTCAATCCCTTCCCCCCTTTCATGACTGCAACCCATTTGTAGGAGGGTGCAGCCAGGGGGGCCCCAAAATAATTTGCAATGCGGTGCAGAACTCAGGGTGTCCAGGAAATATTTAAAAATATGAGTTGTCCTCACCCCCACAAGTCTGAGCTGGGGGGCGGGGATGGGGTACATGGAGCACTGCCATTGAGTTGTTTTACATAGCAACAGTTTTGAAGATAACCTCTGGCATGGCCATTTAACATATCTATAACCTTTAACTGGCTTCATAGATATGTTAAATAGCTGTGGCCATGCTTTGAGCCAAGGAGAAGAGGGTGACTTCCACTCAAGATGTAACTGGAAGGCAACTCCCCGGCCCTCATTAGAATGCCTGCGTGAGAGCTTGGAGATGATTGGCTCCACGCCAGGGGGCCTTGCCTGCCCAGACTCACTGTGGCAGCCCAGTACAGCTGGGAGGATGTGGGAGTCCTGGCAGGTGTAGCCAATTGTGGGAGGAGTGGGAAATGGGACTGCAGAGGAAGTGTGTGTGTGTGTGTGTGTGTGTGTGTGTGTGTGTGTGTGTGTGTGTGTGTGTTGGGGGGGTGGGTATTTAAAGGCAGGCGCAGCAGCCATTGAAGAGAGAACAAGTGTTTTGGGGCAGAATGGGGACTCTCGCAGCCATGTGAGAGATAATCACCATGTAGCTTTATCAAAGAGAACCATGTGGCTTTGGCCAGAGTTGGGGGGGACCCCCCCATACACAGCCATGAGAAGAATCATCATGCAGCTTTAGCGGAGAACCACCATGTGGCTTTCTATTTCTTTTCCTGAGATACGATACCTTGGACTGGGCAAAGGGTGAAAGGACTGTATGTGTTTGTGGGTGTTTTAAGGGACTTTGGGATTTTGATGAAGACATTAAGTCATTACTCTTAAGTCTGAATAATTTGAATAAATAATTCCTTTCCTTTTTACCAGTTTCTAAGGGAAAGATGAACCTAGTACAGGGGGACCCCAGGAGAAGGAGGGGTCAACTAGGTAACATTGTGGGACCCCCTTCCCTGGCGGCCAATCTGGGAAAACCATGGGAGACCACATGTACAGTAGCTTTGCTACTACTTGTCACAGTAAAAGTCTGCCAAAACTACCCAGGAAGGATCCGCCCTATAAGAATAGAGTCCCTTCAGCCCATGAGGTCAATCTCTGCTTGAAGTAGGCCTGCTCCCATGTTCTCTGCTATAAAGTCTGGGTGTTCGGTTCAAGTCTTTGTGCCAATCACCAAGAACCTGGTTACATGTGCCCACCTGTGACACTTTGAACAAGTTCTTGTTTTCCCCTTTCCCCTACCTCAGAATTTATGGTATCCTGCCACGTAACTACCTGTTTCCTTCATTTCTGACTCCCAGAACTTTAATAATTGAATTTGTACAAAATCTATGGAGTTACAATGCACATCTGTCATAACCCTCTTCAGCAACCTTCATCACAGATTAGCAGAGATTATTTTTATTCTACACTATAGTGAAAAAAACCTGATGTTTAGAGAAAAATTGCCTTCTCCAGAAGACTGCAATCACTTAGCAATAAAACAGAGGAGTCAAACCCAGGTCTTTTAACTCCTCTTTCAGTACTTTTTAAAAAATTTTATTGCATTTATTTGAACAACATTGGTTAATAAAATTATGTTTCAAGTGTACAGTTCAATAATACATCATCTGTATATTTTATTGTGTTCACCATCCAAAATTAAGTCTTTCCCATAATTCAGTATTATTTTAAAGTAAAATGTTGCTTCAATTAATAATCACTCTTAAATCCTACTTCATTCTAATCAAATACAATAGCTACCAGTCTTACTTTACAGAAGATTTTTGACCTTCATCAAACCACCCTCCAAAATTTCCTTCCTTCCTGACTTTTGAAATACTTCTTTGTTTTTCCCTAATGTATTGAAAAATGTTTCCTTGTTTCTTCTTTTGAATTCAAATGTGGCCCACTTTCCAAATTTTTTCCGTGGTCTGCTCTTTTTTTTTTTACTTTGTTCATTGTAGCAACCACTGTACAGGCTTTATGCTCACACCAAGTCTGACAATCTCCCTTCTAATTCATCGGAGAGAGAGTGGGGAAGATTTGCCCCAACACCCACGAGCTAGGTAGAATTCAAGGCAATTTCATCTGATTCTCAAAGGACAGACATCTCATGTAACATCTGGCCCTACACTTGTCAATGTGAAGTACACTGTTGCATTTCCTGACCTTGGTTTGCCATTGTGCAGACCTTCAACCTTTGTTCATTCACTTTTATTTAAAGGCCTATATTTAAATGTCTTCTGGACACTAGGAACTTTTCTAACTGAATAGCAATGAACAAGACAGACAATATTCCTGTAGCTATGGAATTTACCTAAATGTGTGTTGGAGGGAGTGTGTGAGACATACTCTGCAAAATAATTGGGTGGCCATTCAGCCTAACTGGGTACTTACTTGAGACTGGGTAATCCAGTTATTTGAGGAAGTGACAGACATTCGAGGTGAGAACCAATGTCCAGCAGTCAGCTATCCCAGGGATAGTCCAAGAGTAGTCAAAGAATCTACAGCTAGTACAAAGGGACTAAGGCAGGAATAAGATTATTAGAAGGCCAGTATGATTGAAGCAGAATTGGCAAGGGGGAGTGCCACAAAAAGAGGAGGACCATCCAGACGAGGCATTGATATTTTCTTCTTAGATATTATATGTCATTATTTTTCCCTACCCATACTAAATGTCTTCCTCTTCTAGAATCCTTTCCATATTAATGGCTTCACAATTCATCCCATCATAAAAGTAGAAAAAAAATCCAAAAAACAAAATGACTGCTCCCTCTTACTTAAATCAGATGACCCCACTTTCTGCCTACCTCACACACTAAGCAAGAGCTAAAAGAACTCTCCTTTCAGATTCCTAACACCAAATTTACAACCTATCTGCATCTTAAAACCTTTTCCATTTTCCCTCCATTTATGCTCTGGATCCATCCCCCTATAGCTTATTCAGGAATCTTAAGATTACACATTATCCATTCTATTTCTTAAACCTTTACTTAACACTTTCCATTCATATTTAAATATTCAAATCTTTCCATCTTAAAAAATGTTAAGAGGCAATCTCTATTCCCATCTATTATCTGCTCTTTTCCTTTTACAGCGAACTTTAGATTCATCTACATTAGCAATCTTTAATTTTCCTGCCTCCCACTGATTCTTCGACCACTTGTCTGGCTGGCCCAGTCAAAACACACCAAAGTAACTAAGGAAATCAATAACCTACATGATGTGAAATTTAATGAACATCTCTTTTTTAAAAATCTATTTACTGATTTGAGAGAGAGAGAGAGAGAGAGAGAGAGAAATGAAGGGAGAGAGTGAGAGAGAAACATCCGTTTGTTGTTCCACCCATCCATGCATTCACTGGTTGATCCCTGACCAGGGATCGTCACACAGCCCTGGTGTATCATGTTGCAACAGGGCGCAGCCAAGACAGGGAGTCCCCAAAAGGATCTGGAATGGGGTCCAGAACTCAAGGTGTCCAGGAAATATTAGAAAGACATATAAGATGCTCTCACCCCTTACCCCCCAACAGGTGTCAGTTGGGGGAAGGGACAAATGGAGCAGGGCCATTGAGAGTTGTTTTGCATAGCAACAGTTTTGCAGATAACCTCTAGAACGGTCATTTAACATATCTATAACCTTTAACTGGTTTCACAGATATGTTAAATAGCTGTGGCCATGCTTTGAGCCAGGGAGAAGAAAGTGACTTCCACCCAGGATGTAACTGGGAGGCAACACCCCCTGGTTACAGTGCCTGCTTGAGAGCTTGGAGCTGATTGGCTCCACGAAATGGGGCCGTGCCTGCCCAGACTCACTATGGCAGCCCAGTAAAGCTGGGAGGATATGGGAGTCCTGGCAGGTGTAACTGATTGTAGGAGGAGTTGGAAATGGGGCTGCAAAGGAGGACTGGCGCAGGGATTTAAACAGAGACACGGCAGCCATTGGGGAGAGAGCCACACGGTTTTGGCAGAGTGAGGACCCCCTCTTGCCCAGGTTAAAGGGAGAGCCACACTATTCCGGCAGAGTGGGGGACCCTCGCAGCTGTGTGAAGGAGAGAGCCACGCGGTTTTGGCCAGAGTGAAGACACCTGCAGCTCTGGTAGAAGAGGCCCACGTGGCTTTGAGGTGCTCCCTTTCGCTTCATGGCCTGGGAAGCGGGAGAGACTTTGCCTGGAAGAATGGGTACAAAGAACTCTTTGCCAGTAGACCATGAGAAGGTGCCACATGGCTTTGGAGTCATTAGATATCCTGCCTGGACAGTGATACAGCTGATGGTGCCAGCAGCC